ACTTTAGTTTTTCTGTGATACGATAAATGTGTCACACTCCTTATCATACTGAAAAAATAAACGACTCCGTGATAATTGAACGTACAATTCGAACAAGAAAAAGAAACAATATATCAAATTCTTTAACCCTTTTGTCTTACAATTTTTCTTCGATACGATAAACGTGTCACAATGATCATACTCTTTTCATTTTCCTTTATCCTCGAAAGAAGGCACGAATCAATAATTACCGACTGTTCGAAAAGAGAAGAAATTACTCCGTGATAATTGAATGAAGGCTCGCTGCACCCGAATCCATCGCGTGAGATGGCGCGGAACGGTGGCGATGAAAAAGGAGCGAGGTGGAAAAGGAGCGTGGGCAGGAATTCCTCGGTCGCGTTTCCAAAGGATCGCGAACACGCCGCGCGTTGCACAACCTAACGCACACGATCGGCCAATAGAGAAAAGCCTCTCTGCGGTTGCAGTCCGCGGAGAGCACTCGAGCTCTCTCGAGCTCCCTCAAGGTGGTCTCGTCTAAATATAGCCGAGTGGAGCCCAGAATAACAGCACGTCGCGAGCCGGCAATGACCAAAGCCCAGCTCGTTCACCAAGCCAGCCAGCCAGCGGCTGTGTGGCGGTGTGGCGGCCAGGATAACCCGAGACCAGGTTGGTCAGTTTTGTCTACCGGCCCTCGGACTCGTTCCTCTGCCACCAGCCACCAACAGAGGAAGGAGAAGAGAACCCGCCTTTAAGACAATACACACCACTCTCTTCTACGATTGTTTCGCGCGAGCCTGCACGTCCTCTTTGTCTCTTGGCCCCGTTCCCTCCAAGGGAATACGGGACTGGTTCTTTCTAAGCCGGACCAGTTTCGTACCGCTGGATCATCGATCACCAGACCACGTTTTATGCAAAATCGAGGGACACCATTGGACGTCTCGCCGTGGATCGATTCTCTTTTCGTTCACGTACCATTCATATTTCGATTATGAATTAACCCTTTACCGTCCAGTTAGTCCGCACTCGGTTGGTCACTCTCGGGCCAGTACCGTGTAGTTTTGCTTTGTTTCGATATTTCAGCGCAGTGTTTGCTGTAAAATACTAAATTTCGGTATAATATTAATGCATAAAGAAAATGCAAAAATTCTTACTTCGAGTCTAGGTCGATATAGGACCGCAAAGGGTTAATATGCTTGATACCTAGGGCCAGATATTTCTGACGACGTAATTCTTACGATAGATCATTTATCGCTTGTAAGTTCAATCGCGCAATGCGAAATCGGGGTTGAAATTAACATACTTAGCGATTAAACAATCGTAAGGCAAAGGGTTAAGAATGTAAGAAAAAATAATACCAAGGTGTTAATTAAGTTTTCAAAGGAGAATCGTTGCAGTGAGAACAGAATTTTTTGGTTAATGCCACTTTGTAGATGTAGAGATTATCGTTGCAATTATCGTTCAATATACGAGTGACAGCTTCGCTGCACCAAGATTGAATTGGCGAGAAGCGAATCGAGATCCTCCAATTCCTCCAAGGTCAAGGCTGCACGCTCGAACGGAGGCTGACGCTTTGTCAGCGACAGCTTCCTTTTAATCAAACACGGAGGCCCCGATGGACAATCATAATTTTGTCATTCCGATGCGGCCCGGCCAACTTCCTCCCTAAGTCGTAGCCGGATCAATTTCATCCTTCTTTTCTTTCTTACACGATGATTGCGATAAATGTCGCTATGATACGCGGCGACGCATAGTCAACTTCCTTTCGGCGAATTTACGAGCGGGTAGGTTAGTATCGGCGCGTCGCGCCTCAACATCCGGTTCTCTCGCACGAAGGGGAATCCTCGCGAGAGGAAGATTTTATTTCTGTGCCGAAGGTGCTTGTTTTTCTTTCGGGATTTGTCCAATTTTGTGTATTTCTGGTCGGAAATTTCACGTGAAAAAAAAAAAGAAAAGAAAACCGGCGGATTTACGATCGCGGTAAGAATTGCAGGCGAGAGCGAAAATTGGAGAAAAAGGAAGGATCGTGTGGCCAGGTGGGTAAATTACCTACGTTCACGACTTCCTGGAATCGTGGGAGGACGGTCAGAGGACGTTGGAAAGAGCGAGCGTTCGATTTTGGCTCGTGGAATTGCAACGGCGGAAATTAACGTCCTCTGTTTTATTTCTCGAATCGTGAAACGAGATGTCTTTTGGTTTTTTTTTAGAGGAAATTAACATAATACTGCTGTAAGATGACCGTGAAACCTTTCGATAATTAGTAGCTATAATACAAGGTGATTCACCTAACTGGATTACCTTAAACGAACGAATTCCTTGGCTTACGATTTTTTCACTGACTCCGCATGTAGGCGTCAACTATTTATTATATGCTGTTGACGTGTTATACGTTATTTACAATTTGATAATTCTCGGCGTTGCGAAATTCGAGCTAAATTTAGAATTAAAGTTAATCTTTCTTACTGATACAACTGTTTCTGTCACACCTTCGCTGGAATCTGCGTTACGGAGCGTCTGATACGTTCTTGCAAGGCAACAAGTTACACGAATTAATCGAAAATTATTCAATGAACTCTCTTTATCGTTTCGTACGTTTTAAATGCAGCGTGATCTTGCAACCTTCGCTGCAATCTACATTACGACTCTGATTCGTTGTTATAAGACAAAGTGTGAGACGACGTGTTTCTTAAATGATCTATAAATTCACACCTTGCACGTTACTAAAATCCTCATTACTTTTTTATTTACGAAGCAATTTTTGCGAAACTTTCAGAAATTGTAAAATAGGATGCATCTTAGGTATTATTGAAAAAAACTTACGTTCTTTAATAATTATCATAACTTTTTTACTTAAAAAATAAATTTTTACGAAATTTTTAGAAATTGTAAAATAGGATGTATTTTAGGCAATTATTAAAAAAAATTGGTTTTTAATAATTATCATAAAATTTTATTTAAAAATCAATTTTACCAAAGTTTCTAGTACTTTTTTAAAGTATGATATTGCGTGAAAGATTTTTCTCTATGAAGAGGAACCATACAAAATTTACATATATATCTTGATTCGCTTCGAAGACGAAGACTATTCGAATCACCAAAATGCAATGCAACGTGTCGAATTTTCTCTGAGACTAAGCTGTTTTTATTTCGGGTTCGTGCATTTATACAGTCTTTCATAGCTTGACCTGTACGGTTTCCATCAATGGGATTGATCTCTTCGGTGTGGATGAGACGAAAACGGTTAATACATTGACTATTGATGTAAACACTTAAATGGACAAAGTAGATACAATGTATCAAAGTAATTGACATCTAAAGACAACGTGTAGAAAACACGGGTTTGTCTCGTGATCCGTCCGTAACAGACGGGGCGCGCAGCACGAGAAAACTCGTGAGCGGTCCTTAATGTGTTAAAAAGGCAACGATGCATTGCTCTATCGCCAGGAAGGAGATTCGATAGGCCAAAAAGAGACTTCCTGGATCGGGGGCCGATAGCGATCATTTTTCGCTCACGATCCGCACACGTGACGTTGCAGGAACGAAGGCGCACCGGTGCGGTGCGGTGTCGCGGTGCAACGTTCCCCATAACCACAAATCCCATGGAAAAGTGTGGATCGCGACTTGGTCGTTCGATGCATGAAATTTCGTGGTCTCTCTCTCTCTCTCTCTGGGTTGGTAGTAGTACGAACTGGTTGTTCGATCGAACATGAATAAGAGAGAAAGAAGGAACGATCTGCGGCGAGAGAGAAGACCGATGAAGAAAAAGAAGAAGAAGAAGAAAAGGAGGAGGTGGAAAAAACAACGGAAAGTGGATCGTGGCCTGGCGGTGGTCGCCACGGTTAAAGTAGAACTGACCCCCAGTTGTCACGTTTAATTTATATGTTAATGAGCCCATGTCACATTTCAACGGTACGGAGCAACCGCCCCGTGCACTTCTCCGCTCGCGCGGCCACACCGCACACAAGAGAAGAGAGAAGAGAGTTGCCCCGTTCATTCCACTCTCCTCCTGCCCTCCTTCGTGCCGCCTGCCACAGGTTTATATTTAACCGCGCGCCACACACCATGGCACCCGGCGCAGCCCACTTTGCCGCGTTACTCTCTTGCCTTCTGCTCTCCTTCCATGTCTTTCTCTTTCTTCACTCCTCTTTTCCACCTACTCCTCCTTTACCGCGGCGACGTCTTTCTTCTTTTTCGATCTCTATCGACCACCTCTCTCTGTCCTCCTTTTAACCTCCTCTCTTTTCGGCTACTTTCAATTTCATACACCCCGTTCTTCCTACCCCCTTTCTTCTCTTCCTTCGATCTCTTCCGTTTTTTCCGGAGTTTCGAGGAATTTTCGTAACTAGGAAATATTTGAATTTAATCTCGCATAAATATGTGTGATAAATGTAATTAACCTTTGTGTCAATAGGCACAATTCTCGTTTACTTTATCCTCCAGTTTCGGTGGTTTCTTTGACAACGAGATTTTAGATTTGAAGCAAACTCGGATAGGAAATGTGCCGATATTGAGAAACTCTGGTATTGACACCAGGGTTAATCTAAATCAGCGTACAAAATTAAAAGGGTTAAATTTTACTCTGACGAATTCTCCAGGAAAAATATACACTTCGGACATTCGTCAACTCTTTCTCAACCCCTTGCCGTCAGAAACAGTTACATCGGTATCAAAAATTAGTTTCAATTCCAATTTTCCATTTATTTCGTAGAACTGTGAAGATTGCCTATGATACATCAGTTTCTCTTACTTAACGTAGTACTGAAACAGTAAATAGCTGACGCTTAGGTGGTCGGTAAAAGGACAGTTCAAGTTCGACGAACTGCCACGGGATAAGAAATTCACGCGAAAGAGAGAAAAAAAAAAAGACGGAATGATAAATTACGAAAGGTTCGTATAACCAATTCTCAGCTGCAACATTGAACGCTGGTTCTCCAGCGGAGAGCGGCCCACATTAACGCCCATGTCGCGGCCTGTGTGCACTTGAACGCGCTTAACCACGACCGGGTGGACCGTCTGTGTTGCAGAAATGCTCGGACTACAAAGCTTCGAAGGTGAACACGTTCGCGAGGACCGAGCCGCCGGACACGCAGGTGACGAAGTCGGTGATCGCGTTGCTGCTCCATTACGGCTGGAACAAATTCACCATCATCACGGAGAGCGCCTGGTCAACGGTGGCCCGTTCCCTCGAGGAACAAGCCACCAAGAACAATCTCACCGTGAACCATTACAAAACGGTCGAGGATCGTCACACGTGCTGCGAGGAACGTCTTCCGTGCTGTCAAGTCAGCGTATGGTTCCAACTTATACAGGAGACCAAAAATATGACTAGGAGTCAGTCCAAGTTTCCTTATCGCATTATCCGTACGATCTTCGCGGGCACACACGCTCTATCCGTAGACGATCGACGATTTCACGTCGTGCTTGTCGATTTCTTTCTTTCCTTTCGAGAATTTTTTTTTAATCTTGGAAAATTTCTATTTCACTCGTTTTGGAAATTTCTTAAGTAGCGCACGACCCTTTTCTCGAGATAGAAGACGATTTTTGACGTCGTACTTGTCTATTTCTTTCTATTTTTTTTTTTTTTTAATTTTGGAAAATTTCTATTTGACTCACACTACAGAGTGTGCCATCGTTTTCTCGAGATATAGAAATAGAGACGTTCCGGTGAAACGACTTCATCAGTGGTGGCAGGCACGCGCGAAATTTTAGTGGCCCAGGTACTGGGAATTGAGCCTGTCAACGAAAGAATACAAATTGATCCTTAAACTCACGTGTACTACTCTATCGCGAACGACGGTCATTTTTAACAAGGTTTCCCAGGGAGTATCTGAATAGCTGATAGAAAGTTCAGATGTAGTTTTTCTCTCTGTTGGAGTTATTCGTTCTTCCGTTGTGAGGAATGTGTTAATTTCTAAATGTTGACCACTAATTTTACCACTCGGAGATATTTTCTCGATAAGTTAGATCCGAACGAAGGTAACGAGATTATTAACCAGGTGTATTTCACGCGCGTCACGACCCAGTAGTTTCCTGTTGGCGTATTTTCGGTGCGTTTCACCCCGTGGGAACGGGTACGCGGCTCTTTCGTTCGATGATCTCACCGATAATCGCGGCTGCTGCCGCGTTTCCCTCCGGTAGGAAAATGAAGCGTGAAAGTCAGTTCCGTTCTGGAAATCGGTCGGCCGTCTTTGGTGGAGCGTGTTCCGCAAGGAAAGAGGCGGGAATACGTTGTCTAACGGAAGCTGTAAATCTGTCGGCAGTTTACATATTCCTGGGAACCGCGATGTCGCTGATCGATATGATGAACGCGATGCAGAATCAACGGCTGCTGGACAACGGGGAGTATATGGTCATACACGTGGACATGATGACGTACTCGCAGCGCGAGGCGCAAAAGTACTTATGGAGTGAGTAGTAGATATGAATTTTTCTTTTTTCCATTTTTCCATTTTTTCGTGAAAATTTCGTCGATCGTTGACACCTAGAACTATCGACCGGGTCAAAATTGACCCGTTAGCATCTTTCGAGAAATGTTCAATGCTGGTAAGTGTTATCGTTTGTAGCTTTTCGAATTTATTTTCTACGTGTATGCTTCTATTTCTATTGGTACGAATCGAATTTTGTTTAATCACGGTTTACTTCCGTAAAAATTCACTTTTGTAAAGTCGCTAATGGGTCATTTTCACTCGGCTGATAGTCCTAGTGTTAATCCATTCGCGATGGATCGTGTTCTGGAGTTGATAGGTTTCTCGATTAACCTATTAAACTGAGTTTACTTGGAAGCGAAAAAGTATGCTATTGGGTTGGAACGAAAGAACCATCTGGACCAGTTCATCGTCCAGAAAAATACGAAATTTTGGGAGGATGAAGTCATGAAACTGCCTGAAAGATGGTGATCTTCGCTTAAAAAACGCTACGAACTTTTGTTCCAACCCGACACTTCGAAAAGCGAAGAAAATGTTTCACGTTTGAAATTAGCGGTAACTTTTCGAAAGAATTCTTACCGTTCGTGTCTTAGTATGTAGATTTTACGCGTTATCCTCCGCTATCCACTGTTTTATACCCAGCACACATACGACCATTATCGTATAATATGAAATGGACGGAGAGACTCCTTGATGGTCCTACCATGTTCCTTGACAGAACCACGTTCCTCGTTACCTCGTCATTTCCGTATCTAATCCGAGATTAACTGAACGCCACGGGTCATGTCGAGCTCGCTCGTGACCCGGTTTCTGGCACGTGAGCCGATTTTAATGCCTCTAGAGTCGTTGTCCCATGTTGTTGCTCCGCTCTCGAATCGGACATTTCCGTTTCCTTTCCTTTAAAAAACGTACCGTATTTCTCCTCGTTTATCTTTCACGCGATTTCATCTTCTACAGAACCGGAACACTTCGACAATCTGAAACATTGCCTCGAGCCGAAGGACTTCCTCAAGAGAGCACGTTCACTCATGGTGGTTGTATCCACTCCACCTACTCAGAATTACGAGGAGTTCACGAAGAGAGTTAGAGAATACAGTAGCAAAGAGCCGTTTAACTTTGTGATACCAGAATTGCTGAGGAAGTACGAGAAGGTAGCGATTTCTTTCAACCTTGAAAATTCGTTCTTCCAGGGGATGATTTAGGAGTTTCGACGGTTCGATCGATCTTGTCTTCTTTTTTTTTTTTTTTCAGTATGTATCGATACACGCGGCGTATCTTTACGATTCCGTGAAATTATACGCGAGAGCGTTGGACCAGCTTCTACGCGACCAACCGGAGCACACGCTCGAGGACATCGCCAGCAATGGGACCCAGATCATCGAGACGATTATCAGGAATCACACTTATCAGAGTGAGTACGCGTGTAATCCGCGAATCGAGCCTGAAGTGGCTCTTGATCGATCGCAGGATAAAATTATATATCTGATTAGAACGAGTGTGTGAGATCTGTACAAATTCTTTGCATAATTAGAAGATTTTAGAGATTTCGCTGATTGCAAGAAAATGACTAAAAACAGAAAGTGAATATAAAACGGAAAAATCAATGGGAAATAATGAATATCGAGCAGGTGTTAGCGGGGCAACGATCAAGTTCGACAAGTTTGGCGATTCGGAGGGGAACTTCTCGGTGCTGGCCCTGAAGAAGGATCCTTTCCGTTTCAACAACTTCTCCTGCGACTACCAGATGAAGCCTGTGGGCCAATTTCAACAGGGTGAAACTCTAGTGAGTGAGTTGTTTACAGCATTCGTGTAGTTTCGAAAATTCACCATTGTCAAAACGAAAAAAAATTACTCCTACGACCATGTGTCCATTTTTGATCGTTGCAAAAAAGAAACAAAGCAAGGAACAACGTATGCAAGATCGAATGAAATATCAAAGAACGGATATATCGATCGTGTCCAGGTGTACAGGCCGTCGGAGGCTATGGACTGGCCCGGTAAGAATAAACCGGAAGCAGAACCAGGATGCGGTTTCCTCAACGAACACTGTCCAAAAGACGACACTCATCTACGGAGCATCGTTGCTGCTGGTGTGCTGGCTGGTTTACTCTTCTGTGCCGCGGTCATCACCATGAGCATATATAGGAGGTGGAAGATCGAACAGGAAATCGAAGGATTGCTGTGGAAGATTGATCCGAGCGAGATACACGGCTATCCTCATCTTGACAATTTGATGTCCTCCCCTAGTAAGGTAAGAATACATTTACAAGCTATTACCTGCATACAAAAAACACCTTGATAATCTACTATTTTTCATTTATCAAATAATTTACGACATTTTTGCAACGCTTTTTTTTTTTTTTTTAATAAATTACACGTCCCTTATAATATACACACGGCGACCACTTTACAGTTTGAAAGAATTACAATTTTCAAGTGCAACCTCTTTTTTTAATTAATTTTAATTTTTCTTCTTTTTTTCTTTTTCGTATCACAGTTAAGCTTAGTTAGTGCAATGTCCTACGAGTCAAGAGGGGGCCAGGTATTCGCGCAGACCGGCCATTACCACGGCGTGGTGGTTAGGATAAAAGAGCTGAAGTTCTCGAAGAAGAAGGACATATCGAGGGACGTGATGAAGGAGATGCGTATCCTTCGCGAGATCAGACACGGTAACCTGAACTCTTTCATCGGGGCGTGCGTCGAGCCAATGAGGATATTGTTAATTACGGACTATTGCGCTAAAGGAAGTCTTTATGTACGTCACCTTAATACACCGATCAACGTGTAATCTGCGGTCTGACGGTGTGTGTTTTTCGAATCGAATGATCGCATTGACTGCGTGTTTCAGGATATCATCGAGAACGAAGATATCAAGTTAGATGATATGTTCATCGCGTCATTAGTTCACGATCTCATTAAGGCAAGTGTGTATATATATATGTTGTATATATAGAAGTGTGGTACATTAGGAGTATTTATGAAAATATGCGTTCTTCTTTTTTCTTCTTCTCTTTATATACGCAGGGTATGCTGTACATTCATGAGTCATCTGTGCTAGTCTGTCATGGTAATCTGAAGTCTTCCAATTGCGTGGTGACCTCGCGATGGGTACTCCAAGTCTCTGATTTTGGCCTGCACGATATGCGGCACTGTGCCGAATCCGACAGCATTGGTGAACATCAGTATTATCGAAGTACGAAGAGAGAAAGAAAATTGTCTGATGTTTCATTCTTTTTTTTTTTTTTTTTTTTCCCTCCCCGGTTTCTTATCGTGTAAATTGTTCATTTTTACGTAGACTTATTCTGGAAGGCACCTGAACTATTAAGAAATCCCAATGCGCCGATTAGAGGGACCCAGGAGGGCGATATTTACTCGTTCGCGATTATATTGTTCGAGATAATCGGACGAAAGGGGCCGTACGGTGGCGTGAATCTAGAACCCAAAGGTAAATAACTCGTATACAGTGAGAAAGAAAGGAAGCGCGTAAGTGTTTGAAAAAAAATAAATAAAAAAAGGATATAGCTGCAGAAATATAAATATTGAACCGTTAACAAATTGACAGAAATCATAGACCGAGTGAAAAGGTTCCCAGAAGATGGTGAACCACCGTTTAGACCTAACATAGATATACTGTCCGAGTCTGAAGCAGACTGTGCTGAGTATATAGTTAGTACGATTACCGACTGTTGGGCGGAAAGTCCTGAACTTAGGCCCGACTTCAAAACGATACGGACCCGTTTAAAGAAAATGAAAGCGGGAAGGCATCGTAATATCATGGACCAAATGATGGACATGATGGAGAAGTATGCGAACAACCTCGAAGATCTAGTCAGTGAACGTACACGCCTTCTTTTCGAGGAAAAGCAGAAAACCGAGGATCTACTTCATAGAATGTTGCCTGAGTAAGTTTTAATTTGTTTGTAGGGGAAAAAAGAAAATGATCGGTATGATTGGTATAATTTGCAAACATTTCTCGATAGACCTGTTGCTAATTGTTTAACAAATGGAATCGGTGTGGAACCCGAGGCTTTTGACTTGGTCACTATATACTTCAGCGATATCGTTGGTTTCACTGCAATGTCAGCGGAAAGTACACCTTTCCAGGTAGATTTTTTTATATTAATAAACGACTAAATAAAAAACTTTGCCCTTTTACGATTAATATTCTTCGGTCCCTTAGGTCGTGAACTTTTTAAACGACTTATACACTTTGTTCGATCGCATAATCAAAGGATACGATGTATATAAAGTAGAAACGATAGGCGATGCCTACATGGTGGTATGTATAATCTTTCTTTTATAGCTACTACAAGAATCTTTTTCTTTTTTTATCTTTTACATAATTTCTATGATACATCGTTCTACCTAGGTCTCTGGTTTACCGATAAAAAATGGTAACAGACATGCCGGAGAAATTGCCTCGATGTCCCTAGAATTACTTAACGCCGTAAAACATCATACTATAGCTCATAGACCCCAAGATACACTTAAATTACGCATTGGAATCCACACAGGTATTATATCTATTAAACGGTACATCAAACAAGACTCGATAAGAAATTTATTAAATAACGAATATTACAGGTCCTGTGGTAGCAGGTGTCGTTGGTTTAACGATGCCCAGATATTGTTTGTTCGGAGACACTGTAAATACAGCTTCACGTATGGAATCCAACGGTGAGCCACTACGTATTCACATAAGCGAGCAATGTAGAGATGCTTTGGACAAGATCGGTGGCTACATCATCGAAGAACGTGGATTAGTCTATATGAAGGGAAAGGGAGAAGTAAAGACTTACTGGCTGACAGGAGCAACTGAAAGGGCCATTCAAAAACGAGAGGTTCGCATATAAGAGGAATATAATGAGATTACTCAAGCCTCTGTATTTAACGTTCGTTTTTTCTTTTGTTAGGTTGACGTCGGTGATCTTCCACCACTCTTTTGTAGACCGAGAAGAAGTCCAAAATTAAATTCAGATTCTCGACAGGCTTCGTTATTAGGTGGCCTAGGAGCAGGTAGTCGCAGACAGTCGAGTGTTCCACGACCAACGCCAGATGACTCCTCGTCTCAGTGTGGAGGTTCCAGTCCAGTGCCTAAATCTCTTAACTCTAGAAAATTGGAACGATCTCCTTTGTATTTAACCGATAGTGTATCAAAAACGACGTTGGATAACATAGTGTTACAAGAAGAAGTAGAAAATCGAGCTGCTAACATTAAAATGGCACTCGACGACTACTTCATCGGCAAGAGGCCAAAATTTAGGAGGAACACGAGAGTTCTATCGACAATCGCCTCGTCGAGCTCTACGAGCGATCATCCGTTTCAAATTATAAGGGAAGCTCGTTCGTTAGATCCGTTCCCTTTGGAGCTGTACGGTAGGAGATTCGAATCGCCACATTTCTCTTGGAAAGAGCAGAGGAAGAGTTTCAGGTCGTTAGAGAATTGTGACAAGTGCACACGGACTAACTCGAAGACGAATATTTCCGAGAAAGTGTTAAACAACAATTATCCAAATGGTAATGTGATAATAGTGCCCCATACTGACGAGTTGCCCAACGAAGCAGAAACGCCGTTGCTGGGGGATGAGAGTGGCTGTATGGGGGAAATCGTGCCTGTTAAACGTTGGCGTTCGCTCGATCAAGTGGTATCCGTTCCTAGTACAGACAGTGTGCCGGACAAAAAATCATCGGCAAGAAATTCGATCAGAAGTTGGCTGGTAAATCTATTCAGCGGCAATGGATTACGAAACAGCGATGTTTCTTTGAGAAGAGGTGTAATAGCAGGTTACGATATACAGTCCGAACGTGAAAGTATAGTTTGATGGAGAGTTTCTTCTTTAGTGGAGAAAAGAAGAGAAGGAGGGAAGGAAGAAAGGAATTCCAAAAACCTTGTGCTACTGAAACGTATGAGAGCACAAAAAGAACATTGTTTTATTTACGAGTCATAAGCATGATGTATTGTTGCCATTTCTTTTTTTTCTTCTTTTTTTTAGCGTATAGACATACGTGGAATGTATGGGTAAAAAAAAAGTTACCGACCGTGTATATTTTTAATACCTAGATATTTTATAACTTGTAGTAAAGTACGCTTTATATTGGCGGCAAACATGATTTTTTTTACGTAGCGCGAGATCTATCTGTTAAAATTTTTAATCCGAGAGTATAAATAAAACTAGGATGAATTTTTATAAAAATGATTCTAACCAAAGTATACACAAGTACAGAAATCATGTAAAAATGTCTATCTCGAGGTAGCACAAATGTTTCTCGTTGTAATACGAAAAGGATGAAGAACGTGCATATGAATTGCGATGTACATGTACGCAAGTTTGAATACACTCGATTCAGACATATGTATGTATGTATGTATCTATGTTTGTATGTATGTATGTATGTATGTATGTATGTATGATGCATGCATGCATGCATGTATGTATGTATGTATGTATGTATAATTTCGATACTTGTTCACTGAAGGAAAGCAAATTATCTATGTATGTATGATGCATGCATGCATGTATGTATGTATGTATGTATGTATGTATAATTTCGATACTTGTTCACTGAAGGAAAGCAAATTATCCGTATGGCTGTGAAAAGTGAACTAGATTGTACCTAAGGTGCTTAGTAATATATCATCTTGTCAAATGTATATAAGTGAATAATAATATATAGATGTAAAGATAAAATGTAAATTAAAAGAAATATTATCTTCTGTAAGAGCTGATTAAAGATTCATCTTTTGAAATGTTGTATAATTCAATTTTTTTAATAAACAGATCAATTTTTTCCTTTTGATAATTTTATTCTTTAGATGACTATTCAAACAGCAGTGTGTATATACATTTTTTTTTACAGAACACAAAAACTATTCATTCTACAAACACTTAAAATAAGTATTATATTACATTTTCTACTTTGTACCATGAAACACTTCAGTTCTGACCTCCTAGGAATTTTGACATAAAATCTGTGGGCTTTGGGTCTACAGTATCATTCCAATAGTACAAAAGTGTACAAGTTGGTTTCCACATATTAGTAGTTTCTTCAAGCTCCATTTGTCCCTAATATAGTATATTGTATTCATCAAATTGTATATTTATTATGTCATGTGCAAAATTATCAACACATATAGTACAATTACCTTAATAAGTAATATATCAATAGTTCTTATATCTGTTAGATGCGCATTACGTTTAAATATTTCTTTTAACTTTTTCCTACAGTCAGCATCTGTCTTTGGAAGGTCATACAATGCAGCTGTAAAAGAAATACCTTTAGTCACATGAAGACATTTTGGATAAAATTTTAAGTATGTAATTGGAATTTATTTCTATAAAAAGCCAAGTAATCTAGAAAACGTTAAATACATACAGGTGCTATTTTAAACGCAATTAGGTTAGGTAATACTCCGTTCTATTGATTTCCAAGTGAAAGATTTGAAGTAATGAAAATACGTACTGATATATGGAATTTGTCGGTACCATGCCTTATACAAAGTTATTACTCTGTTACGACAGTCTCCAGGGGTCAGTGACAAAATTGGTTTTACGTATCTTAATCCTGTTTTTACAGGAGCAGCCATTCTTAGATTATAGTTATTTCACTCTGTGTTTAAATTGCAACCTAAGATTGGATATATTTCATACCAAACATTGTGTCCAATATTTAATAAAAAAAATCACCAAAATGATTTAAATTAAAAATAAAAAACACGAATACATTCAAAATATTCTTTCTTATTAATAAAAACTGTTTTTCCTCTACTTAATGTCTACCTTTTACATCTATTTAATGTTAATATTTTTCATGAATTTATGTTGTTAAACTGGGTGAGAACGTTCATATTGCATTGAAATATAAAAATTAAAAATCAGCTGCATATATATCAAATGTATTCTATTTAAAATGATTTCGAATTTAGTTACAAAATTGTTTCTTCGATAATAACATGGTGCCGTACGTAGCACATGTTTGCAACACTGAAGTAACTGTTAGAATTTTCAACATTGTATGATGCAATCGTTTCATGTGGTTGTATCGTTCTGTCAGTAAGAATTTGTATTATTTATATTATTTGGCAGTTGTAAAAATAATTACAATTATATCTAGCTCTGTATTGTATTAATTAAGGAGAGTTACCTAAAAATTTATATATAGATATATTCTTCGTAATTAGATATATTCTTATATTTTTATTCGTTACGAATAAAAAATGGTCGTGAGACAATATAACGAGGAATTACAATACTTGGAACAAATAAATAACACATGTTGGAGAATAAAGAAGGGTTTTCAACCTAACATGAAGGTAAATTATTTTTTAATGTTACATCCGTTTATGCATATTGAATATTTTGTTACTTGCAGGTTGAAGGTGTTTTTTACGTGAATAATACGTTGAAACGTTTAATGTTTGACGAATTAAAAAATGCATGTAGACCAGGAACAGTAGGAGGTTTTCTCCCAGGTATGAAACAAATTGCCAATGTAGCTGCTCTTCCTGGAATTGTATGGAGATCTGTTGGATTGCCTGATGTACATTCAGGATATGGTTTTGCCATTGGTAATATGGCAGCATTTGATATGAACGATCCAAAATCCATAGTATCACCAGGTGGTGTAGGATTTGATATAAATTGTGGAGTTCGTTTGTTAAGAACAAATTTATTTGAAGAGGATGTTTTACCTGTAAAGGTATTACATTATATTATCTTTACATTTAAAGAAAACTATATTATAGGAAGATATACAAGTTAATAAACATTTATAGGAGCAACTTGCTCAGAGCATGTTCGATCATATTCCTGTTGGTGTTGGTTCAAAAGGAATCATACCAATGACTGCACATGATTTAGAAGAAGCTTTAGAAATGGGAATGGACTGGTCCCTCAGGGAAGGTAATCATGTTCATTAAATGGTAATTCTTTCAATCGATGACATGTTCATTTTCTTTTCTAGGTTATGTCTGGGCAGAGGACAAGGAACATTGCGAAGAGTACGGTAGAATGCTTAATGCAGATTCCTCAAAAGTATCAATGAGGGCCAAGAAACGTGGGCTTCCACAGGTAAGGAATTAAAAATTTATTTTCACTGCATACACGACTATTGAAGCAATTCTAACATATTAAAAAAATTTGTTTTACAGTTGGGAACTTTGGGTGCAGGAAATCATTATGCTGAGATTCAAGTAGTAGATGAAATCTATGACAAATGGGCTGCATATAAAATGGGTATTGAAGAGAAAGGCCAAGTGTGTATTATGATTCACTCTGGTAGCAGAGGTTTTGGACATCAAGTTGCAACTGGTGATAATCAGATGATAAATTTACTCTCCGGAATCAGAATGTATAAAAATTTATTTGTATTACAGACGCGCTGGTACAAATGGAGAAAGCTATGAAACGAGACAATATCGAAACTAACGATAGGCAATTAGCTTGTGCTCACATTAAATCTCAAGAAGGTCAAGATTATTTGAAATCAATGGCAGCGGCCGCTAACTTTGCATGGGTTAATAGGAATTCTATGACGTTTCTTAGTCGGCAAGCATTTGCAAAACAGTTCAAACTAGCTCCTGACGATTTAGACATGCACGTTATTTACGATGTTTCTCATAATATTGCAAAGATAGAGGAACATGTGGTTGATGGTAAACAGAAAACCCTTCTGGTTCATAGAAAGGTGAATAAAGGATATGGTTGAAAGTAGTGAACTACGTGGAAGTACTAGTTAATTGTTATTTTCTTTATAGGGATCAACTAGAGCATTTCCACCTCACCATCCTTTGATTCCTGTAGATTATCAATTAACAGGTCAACCAGTTTTAATTGGTGGTACTATGGGTACTTGTAGTTACGTTCTTACTGGAACTGAAGAAGGTATGAAGGAAACATTTGGATCCACTTGTCATGGAGCAGTAAGTATTTGAACATTTTCAATTTATAAAATCCCATAACGATCGGCTAGATGAATTATAAATTTCGATTAGGGTCGAGCATTATCTAGAGCCAAATCACGGAGAAACTTGGATTATACGGCCGTACTGGATAAACTACAACAACAAGGAATATCGATTAGAGTCGCTTCACCTAAGTTAGTAATGGAAGAAGCGCCAGAGTCTTACAAAAATGTAACGGATGTTGTAGATACGTGCCATGAGGCGGGCATTTCCAAGAAATGTATAAAATTAAGACCGATCGCGGTTATTAAAGGATAATTGTTTAAGCATATGCAGAGGATATTTTTATTTATCACCACGTTCACTTCTAAATAATTTACAAATTGAAAGAAATACGAAATTACGAAGGAAAGAAATAGGGGTAGACCAGGATAGTACTAGAAAAATGAGTTACACAAGGATAGCACTTAAGAAACAGGTTAGACAAGGAAATCAACAGGAGTAGAGAAGGATAGCATTAGAGTAATGAGTTAGACAAAGAAAGGTATGTGGATAGACAAGGACAGAAAAAAACAACGGGCGAGATTAACGCCATCTAGCGTCAGGTGACGCGAACTACGATTTTTTAATAGGAACACATGATATACACAGAGGTATTAGACAAGGAAAGCACTAGTGTGCGACAAGGACAGAGAGAGAACGCTTCCCATTGGCTGGCGGGCCGCTGAGCTCCGCCACTCAAGGCCCCAGCCACGTGGTCCGGTGAAAAATCATTAATAACTCGATAATTAGGACGATTTTGTGAACTTTTAGAATTGAAGAATAAAGTGTGGACCTTTAGCAACTTTCACATATAGTTTTTAGTGCTCTGAAACCTTTCAGTAATTAGTTATTAACAATTTTAGTACGGGATGTCGGGAACCATACCGCACATCCTTCAGGTTTTTCATTAATTTCGCAGCTTTATACAAATAATTTATGCACTTTCATACGTGCGTCCGAAAGGCTATTCCTTTAGCTACTTTCTCGTTATATTTTCATTAACATGTTCGTCGTAGTTTGCGAGATATTAAGCATTATTTGGGTAAGTACTACACTCGTCGTATTCAAACGTAAAACATTTCCGTAATTTTTATTAATAACTCGATAATTAGGATGATTATGTGAACTTTTAGAATTGAAGAATGAAGAATGGACCTTCGGCAACTTTCTCATGTAGTTTTTAGTGCTCTGAAACCTTTCAATAATTAGTTATTAGCAATTTTAGTACGCGATGTCAGGAACGATACCGCACACTCTTCTAGTTTTTCAATAATTTTGTAGTTTTGCACAAATATTTTATATACTTTCATATATGCGTTCGAAAGGCTATTCCTTTAGCTAGCTTCTCGTTATATTTTCATTAACATGTTCGTCGTAGTTTGCGAGATATTAAGCATTATTTGGGTAAGTACTACACTCGTCGTATTCAAACGTAAAACATTTCCGTAATTTTTATTAATAACTCGATAATTAGGATGATTTTGAAAACTTTTAGAATTGAAGAATAAAGTGTGGACCTTCAGCAACTTTCTTATGTAGTTTTTAGTGCTCTGAAACCTTTCAATAATTAGTTATTAGCAATTTTAGTACGCGATGTCAGAAACGATACCGCACACTCTTCTAGTTTTTCAATAATTTTGTAGTTTTGCACAAATATTTTATAAACTTTCATATATGCGTTCGAAAGGCTATTCCTTTAGCTAGCTTCTCGTTATATTTTCATTAACATGTTCGTCGTAGTTTGCGAGATATTAAGCATTATTTGGGTAAGTACTACACTCGTCGTATTCAAACGTAAAACATTTCCGTAATTTTTATTAATAACTCGATAATTAGGATGATTTTGAAAACTTTTAGAATTGAAGAATAAAGTGTGGACCTTCGGCAACTTTCTCATGTAGTTTTTAGTGCTCTGAAACCTTTCAATAATTAGTTATTAGCAATTTTAGTACGCAATGTCAGGAACGATACCGCACACTCTTCTAGTTTTTCAATAATTTTGTAGTTTTGCACAAATATTTTATAAACTTTCATATATGCGTTCGAAAGGCTATTCCTTTAGCTAGCTTCTCGTTATATTTTCATTAACATGTTCGTCGTAGTTTGCGAGATATTAAGCATTATTTGGGTAAGTACTACACTCGTCGTATTCAAACGTAAAACATTTCCGTAATTTTTATTAATAACTCGAAAATTAGGATGATTTTGAAAACTTTTAGAATTGAAGAATAAAGTGTGGACCTTCGGCAACTTTCTCATGTAGTTTTTAGTGCTCTGAAACCTTTCAATAATTAGTTGTTAACAATTTTAGTACTGGCTGTCGGGAACGATACCGCATACCGTCGTGTACCTTTGCGGTTTTTCAATAATTTCACTACTTTCTACTAAATTCTCGTGCAACTAACTAGACGCATCTGAAGGGCAACTCTTTTGGCTATATTCTCATATCATTTTCGTTAACATATTCGGTTTAGTTTACGAGTTATTAAACATTATATGGGAGCGTCCCCTATTCATCGTTCTCGAGTATACCTGACTGTTATGAACAATTGCCAATATCTAATAAACCACATAACTTACGCGTATAAGAATTATTGCAGAATATAGATAAAAGTCCATTCTTCATTCTTCAATTCTAAAAGTTCACATAATCATGCTAATTATCGAGTTATTAATAAAAATTACGGAAATGTTTTACGTTTGAATACGACGAGTGTAGTACTTACCCAAATAATGCTTAATATCTCGCAAACTACGACGAACATGTTAATGAAAATATAACGAGAAGCTAGCTAAAGGAATAGCCTTTCGAACGCATATATGAAAGTTTATAAAATATTTGTGCAAAACTACAAAATTATTGAAAAACTAGAAGAGTGTGCGGTATCGTTCCTGACATCGCGTACTAAAATTGCTAATAACTAATTATTGAAAGGTTTCAGAGCACTAAAAACTACATGAGAAAGTTGCCGAAGGTCCATTCTTCATTCTTCAATTCTAAAAGTTCACATAATCATCCTAATTATCGAGTTATTAATAAAAATTACGGAAATGTTTTACGTTTGAATACGACGAGTGTAGTACTTACCCAAATAATGCTTAATATCTCGCAAACTACGACGAACATGTTAATGAAAATATAACGAGAAGCTAGCTAAAGGAATAGCCTTTCGAACGCATATATGAAAGTTTATAAAATATTTGTGCAAAACTACAAAATTATTGAAAAACTAGAAGAGTGTGCGGTATCGTTCCTGACATTGCGTACTAAAATTGCTAATAACTAATTATTGAAAGGTTTCAGAGCACTAAAAACTACATGAGAAAGTTGCCGAAGGTCCACACTTTATTCTTCAATTCTAAAAGTTCACAAAATCGTCCTAATTATCGAGTTATTAATGATTTTTCACCGGACCACGTGGCTGGGGCCTTGAGTGGCGGAGCTCAGCGGCCCGCCAGCCAATGGGAAGCGGTCTCTCTCTGTCCTTGTTTGCTAAAAGTCCATTCTTCATTCCTCAATTCTAAAAGTTTACAGAATCATCCTATTTATCGAGTTATTAATGATTTTTCACCGGCCCACGTGGCTGAGGCCTTGAGTGGCGGAGCTCAGCGGCCCGCCAGCCAATGGGAAGCGTTCTCTCTCTGTCCTTGTCGCACACTAGTGCTTTCCTTGTCTAATACCTCTGTGTATATCATGTGTTCCTATTAAGAAATCGTAGTTCGCGTCACCTGACGCTAGATGACGTTGATCTCGCCCGTTTTTTTCTGTCCTTGTCTATCCACGTACCTTTCCTTGTCTAACTCATTGCTCTAATGCTATCCTTCTCTACCCCTATTTCTTTCCTTGTCTAACCCTTTTTCTCTAGTGCTATCCTCGTCTCCCTCTCTTTCTTTCCTTATCCAACTCATTGTTTTCAATCCCCGCTAACAATTATCCGTTATCATTTGTTTATTATAACGTCTCACCCATCGTTTTCACAGATAACACAATAATTGTACCAGTGCATCTTCTGGAATACAACGACAAAGGCAATGTTTAAAAATATTACATTAGCGTTTTATTAGATAAAATGTACAAGTTACCTACGCTCGAAGTAAGAATGCTATATTAGACTAATTCGTTCGACTTTACACGTGAATTAAATTCGCTGTGTTACGCTTAACAAATCCTCCAATGACTAAAGAAAAGGACGACGGCAGGGGCTGGGTGGGAGAGAATATAGGTACAGGGAAAGGTACGACGGAAGACAAAGAGGTTCTCTCGTGTGTAGATAATGGAAGCAAACCATCACCATAAATAGTTAACATTTCTCTCTCTCTCTCTCTCTCTCTCTCTCTCTCTTTCACTCTCCATCTATCTATCTATCTATCTACCTATTTATATTTATATATATATATATATCTATGTATAACGTGATTCGCGGGCCTCTTTTACTCGTATGTAACAGTGAACGTAACGGCACGCTCGTTGTGAACCCTGAAGAGGAAAAAGTACGGAAGGCTCAGTCACTGGAGGAGTCGTTTCTAACAGGAATACAAGACCGGCCAAGCAAGTAGAAGAAGAAGAAGAAGAAGGAAGAAATTGAAGTTTGGCCTGTGCTGCATTCCATTTGAAGAATTATAAAATTACGTTACGAGATAATAATTATCCTAGAGGGGCTTATGATAGGTGATAATCAGGAGACGGTTCAGCTACAGATTCCGTAGTGAACAATGGATTTGGGAACTCTGGTGGATGTGGCAGTGGTCCAGCAGTCTTCGGCTGGCGACGATACGCCATTAGCCAGCACGATACAGCAATAGCTACAGCAACCAGTGCCAGAAGTGCTGTAATTACCAGTGCTATCACAAAGCCGACCATTGATACGCATATGTCTTCCACTCTTTGAGCTGAAGCAACTGAAACACACGAACAAGAAGAAATTAGTCGAATTTACAGAGATCTTCTTTATCTTCTTCTTCTATTTTTGTGATGCACGGTTTTGACTGAGTTTCTCGGAACTGTATCGGGGTAACGCTTGAATCGGAAGCAATCAAGGATCGACGTTGCTCAGAGAAGAAACTTAATTAAAAATGGCGGATGACTGGATGACAGTACAGAGAGTGACACGAGGATGAAGAAATAGGGCTGCTTAAGGGTTTGAGGAAGGTGAACTTTGGGTTATGACTGTGTAGAAGAGCCCGTGGATGCGGTGGCAGTCGACGTCGGGGTATTTGCTCGGTTTGACTGTTAACGTAACGAAAGGGCTCATCCGCTGAAAACGCTCAGCGGCGTGGCTGGATTTTTCCATCGCCCGTCTCGGGGCTGTGGCTGGCTGGTGCGTAGATTCTTAAAGCTTGATAGAGGAATAGGCACCGCCTGGGAACTCTGAGCCCTTATCAGGGCGGCTACATTACATGTGTAGAAGAGTCCAGTGCGAGTGACGGTGAGAGTTTCCGATTAGTTGTGGACACAGATAAGATTAAGACTTGAAAGGCAAAGATTCGAGGGTGTGAAATACTGCTCGAACTTACTCTCAGCTGGATCTGCTGTGAACCTCTCTTCTCTCCTCTCCAGAGTGAATATCAGATTCGACTGGATCGTTATCTCTTCTCGAAGTTGGCCCTCGAAGCTGTCCGTGACGCTCAATGCTGTGTCGTTTGGATTCGAGACGTCTCTTCGTCGACGACCGAACGCGTTGTATCCTCGACAATTTACCTGAAGAAAGAAGAAGAAATTAGAATCACGTATGCCTTTTATTCGATGATTAGAGAAGAGATACTAACGGGTTGACAGCGGCCGAAACACACTCGAATATTGCACTGGAATCGTATGTTATCGCTACTTGGGAACTTGAACGCGTTGAAACTAGCCATCAACGTCTGTGTCTCTGGATTCTGCTCCCATTCGCCGAATATCGTTGGATCTGTCGCACAACCGTTCTCGTCTGTCACTATGTACTCGTTCTCCAAGTTGTCCTCCATCGTTTTCGCCACGCAATTTCGGGCGAAGCCGCCGTAGATCGCTGGAAGATGGAAATTAATTCTGAAGAAAGCTGACCGAATTGTAACGCTGGAGGATCGAGATTAATTCGTGAAGGAAGTTTATTAAATTGTAACGCTGGAAGATCGAGATTAATTAATTTTGAAGAAAACTGACCGAATTGTAACGTTGGAGGATCGAAACGAATCCCGATGAAAATTGGTCGAATTGGAAAGTATCGAAAAAATTGTATATATTCTTACTTGACGGTTGAACTTCCACTTGCAGCATCAGATAATCTCCAATTTCAGCGGAGTTAATTTCGTTCCCATTCTGAGTGACGATCTTCATTAAACAAACTGGCGGAGGACCGGTGTTTGCAATGGTTCCAGCAGTGGTCAGCATAGACACGTTGAAACCAAGAGTAACATTTTGTTCTCCGGTTTGATATATGCATTTGATGTGATACGCTTGTGTCTTGTATGTCATTAATTTCGGATGCTTCTGTATGACCAATACGAAGCTGGCTTGTCCCTGAAAGTTAAACGCGTATCATTTTTCACGTGTTTAAAGAAACCTCGAAAATCGGAAAAGTTCAAAGCGAAAGAAACTTACGTTTACGTGAATTAATCCACAATTTCCGAACGCCACCTTGAAGATCTCTGTCTTGTGCATGGTCTCTGCTGGAATTGAAACAACCCTTCTGCACTGTTCGTCTTTGCTATGGCCTTTGACGTAAAGAACACCGTCGAATTCTTGATCGTGAAGATGAATCTCGACTTGGACCCCGTCGGAGAGACAACTGACAACCATTTCTGGCCTGGGGAAGTCTGTACGCCATCGGTTCTTGTCGTCTATTGCGTAGAAATTCGGTTAATCTACCGAGTTAACGTGAAAAAGACAGTTGAGACTTACAGCACTGGGTGTAAGCATTCCCAATGTAACCGTTGATGCATATGCAAATAGCTTGGTGACGAGTAGCATTGCAAAGTGCGTAAAGGCCGCATAATTGGCTCATGCAAGGATCTTCACAGGTTTGGCTGGTCTTGTCGCAGTATCTGTTATCAGCGCAGTCATCGTCGAGCCTACATTCCATTATATCCACTGAAAAATGGAAACAGTATTAATCGAAGAAGTGTTTTTATACGGAAGATTATCGAAGGGATATTCGAAACTGAAGAAATTCAAGTTAATGTGAGATATGGAGTAATGACGAAGTGTGGTCGTTAGTAACGAAGACGTTAAACGAATAAACTTTTATCGTGGAATATAGAATAACTGTGAATTATGGTCGCTGGTAACGAAGATGTTGATGCGATGTTAAATTGTATTAAAGAAGGATTTTTCTCGTACCTAATTTACAATGGCCATTGGAATCAAGCCTGTATCCATGCTGAGTTGGACACACACAGTGGCCATGCTCGTCGATGATCATACCGTTCTCCAGATCACAGACACAGTATCCTTCGTCGTTGATGATCATTCCAGACTGTTTTCGACAAGGAATACACACTTCAGTTTCGTCCTTAGCTGATCCTGGTGGACAGATACAGTTGCCATATTCGTCGAGGACTTGGTCTTTCTCCACTGAACACACGTTTGCTGTGAAATAAGAAGATTTATTGAGAAAATATTCTTGGAATGTTGAATCATCGTTTGTTAGAAGTAATTACTTTTGTCACAACGGACGACAGCGTTTCCTCTGTAGCCAGGAATACATTCGCAGATCATGGTTCTCACAGGTGAGGTGTCCAACACTTTGCAATCTGCGTTTACTCCGCAAGGCTCGATCTTCACGCAAGGATTGATGCAGTCGCCGTTGAAGCAGGCGGTTTGCGATGGACACTCGTTGTCTGCCTTACACTTCTCTGTCACTGAAATAAAAGAATAACATTTAGAATTGAAATTAAATTTCTCCGTCCCTAAAATAATAAAAATTAAAATTCTCTGCCACGAAAATAATAAAAATTAAAACTCTCCGTCGTTAAAATAATAAAAATTAAAATTCTCTGCCACTGAAATAGTAAAAATTAAAACTCTCTGTCGTTAAAATAGAAAAATATTAAAATTCCCCGTCACTGAAATAATAAAAATAAAAGTTGTCTGTCACTGAAATAGAAAAAAGTAAAATTCTCTGCCACTAAAATAAAAGAAAATGAAAATTGAAGAAAGAAAATAATTGACAAAGATAAAAATTGCAAATTATTAATTCTTACGTTTGGTGCATCCCACTTTGGTGTCCCCAATGAAGCCAGGAGGGCAAGCACACTCAACCACGTGATTATACACGTTGCAATCCATGTTTCCTGTGCAAGGACTCTCCGCACATGGATTCTCACACCGGTTGTTGATGCAAGCTTTATTCGTGGGACAGTCAGAGTTGCTCCTGCAGCCAAGAAGAACACAGGAGACCCTTGGATTGCCTCCATATCCAGGTGGACATTCACAGATCGCTTTGTGATTGATTCCATGGCAGTCTGCTCCCTTGCCACAGGTAGATAGAGATGGTGAACAAACTGGGAGGCAATTGTGCTGCACACACGTGTGGGATCCGCTGCAATCGCCGTCTGTACGACACCCAGCCACTGAAAAATACGAAATAAAAAGTGAATAATCAATTTTCAAGAGAAACTACCAAAAACTTCAAAAATTTGAAATCAAACGTGAAACTTCCTTTCCTTTTTTGCCATTTCCTCCGTCATTTTCATCCTTTGAAACCATTGAAATTGCATACAAAAATTTCTCCCACCGTACAGAAGTTACGGAAGATAATTAAATACCCTGCTTTACATCTCCCACCCTGCATATTCCCAAAAACAAACCCCATTTACCTTTCGTGCACACCACGTCAGGGTTCCCATCGTATCCCAGAATACACGAGCAAATCGGCTTGTGATTAGCAACGCTACAGTCCGCGTTAGGTCCACAAGCGCAAGGATTCCTGCACACAGCGTTCACGCAGGACTTCTCCGAAGGACAATCTCCATCTCTGGTGCACTCTATCTCCAATATCGGCTTGGTAGCTCTGCAAGTACCGCTTCCACTACTCACATAACCGCTAGGACACACGCAGACCATGGTACGAACAGGAGAAGTAGGAAGAACCCTGCATTCAGATGGTTCGCTGCAAGGCTCCACCACGGTGCAAGGATTCTGACACTTGTTGTCGAAGCAGGCGAGCAAACCAGGACAATCCGTGTCTTCCTTACACTCTGGTCGAGCTTCTGGTTTGCAGTTTATGTAAGGATTGCCTATATGTTGAGCAGGACAACGACAGATCGGTAGATGATTGAAGACTCTGCATTCTGCCAGAGACGAGCAAGGATTGCTGTGAACGCAAGGATTGATGCACTGCATGTTGATGCAAGAGTGATCTCCTGGACAGTCTCCGTTGCTGTAGCAGCCGATCACTCTGCAACGATCCAGAGGATTTCCGTGGTAGCCTTTGCGACATTTACAGTCTGCTTTGTGGTTGTTAGGGAAGCATTCGGCGTTCACTCCGCAACTGTCGGACACTAGACAAGGATTCACGCAGTTGTTGTTCACGCAGCTCTTGTCCAACGAGCATTCGCTGTCTCTGCGACATTCTACCGAGTAACAGGCGATGTCTGGATTGCCTTGGTAGTTCTCCTCGCAGGAGCAGATGGGTTTGTGGTTGCGTACGTAGCAGGCCGCGTTCGTGCCGCAGTTGCAAGGATTTCTGCACTGTCTGTTGATGCAGGATTCTCCGTCGCTGCACTCGTCGTTCGTTGTGCAGGTGCCGATCACTGTTAGTTGGACTGAGAGAAGAATTGTGTTATAGTTTTTGGCGAACAGTTGTGTGACTTGGGTGTAGAGACGAATTTTTTTCGAATTTTAGGGGCAATCGAAATTTTATTTGAAAAGAACGAAGGCGGATCAATTATTGAAATAATTTCTATTACTGGCGATGACCTTTTGCCATTTTTCTGGGAGCCTGTGAACGCTATCGCGATAGAAACTCGGTGGAGTTTGAATGAAGAGTGAATCCAGTCGGAGAGAATTCATTTCTACTGCTAGAAAAATAGAGAAGTAGGAAAGTAAAAAAGTAAGAAATAGAGAAGTGAAAATATTACTTCTCGTTTGGATTGAATTGCGTTACTTTTTATCAAGCAATACGACAACGCAAGCTTTGAAATCGATTTTCTTCGAACGACACTCCCGCGTGTGTCCTTTCTCCATCAAACGCCTCAATTTCAACTCTGAAATTACTTACTTGGTCTGCAAACGCCGTCGACATCAGTGGTCCAGCCTTCAGGACAAGTGCAGGTCATGGTTCTCACAGGAACAGTGTCCAAAACGTTGCACCTTGCGTTCTCCATGCACGGTCTAATCACAGGACAAGGATCGATGCACTTGTTCTTGATGCACACCAATTTGTCAGCGCAATCCAGGTCGATTCTGCATTCTGGTTCGTCCAACTGTGTCGTTTGGCGATGTTCGCAATAGGAGTACGGATTTCCAACTGGAATATTCTCGGGACAACGACAGGTCGCTGTGTGATCTTGAACGTAGCAGATCGCATTTTGAGCGCACGGTGAATCTTCTATGCAAGGATTCACGCAACGTCCGCTGCTGCAGGCTAAGTTTCGAGGACAATCGTAATCTGCGCTGCATTCTACTCTCTCACAGTGAACTTCTGGGTTCCCTAAGTAACCTGGACCACATCGACACACGGCGCGATGGTTTTGGCCGTAGCATTCTGCGTTTATGGCGCATTTGTTCTCCAGGATGCAAGGATTCACGCATTGGCCGTTGTAGCAGGCGGCTGCGTTGTTGCATTCGCTGTCTGATTCGCAGTCCACTGGAAAAATGGATTTTTCGATGTTAGCTTGAGTAGAAATTTGGGGAGAGTTAAAGGTAGGAAATTAAATATTTTAAAAATAGGAAATTGAAAGAGGCTGCGTTGGTGCATTCGCTGTCTGCCACACAGTCCACTGAAATAGACGGATTTTTTAATATTGCCTGGAGTAGAAATTTGGAAAAATTGAAAGATAGGAAATTAAATATTTAAAAAAATAGGAAATTAAATATTTTCAAAAATTGGAAAATAGAATAGGAAATTAAAAGCGAACAGATGGATTTTTTGACATTAGTTTCGCTAGAATTTACGAAGATTTAGAAACAGGAAATGAAACACCTTTCTCTGGTGCAAATTTAACATTACATTAATTTCACCTGTGATACGACACCGCAAGTGAAGAACAATCAATATTCAAAATTCTAAAAAATAAATTTAACTTACGTTTGAAGCAACCCAGCTGAGGATTTCCAGAATATCCAGGAGGACACACGCAGGATGGATAATGATCGACGACGTTGCACTTAGCGTTGTGACCACAGTTGCAAGGATTGATGCACAAACTGTTCACACAGGCAGCGTTACCAGCGCAATCATAGTTCGAAGTACACTCAGCCACAATTTGCGCTAGATAAAATAATTTCACATTGAAAATTTTTCCTAATCAACATTTAAATGTATATCAATTTTCTTATTCGATGCTTACGTGGTATACAATTAACTCTAGCATCTCCAACGTAATTGTTAGGGCATCTGCAGACTGGATTATGGTTGTTCACGTGACAAAGTGCATTTCTGCCGCAAGGATCTTGAACGACGCAAGGATTCACGCATAGAGAATTTATGCACTGTTTGTCGCTTGAACATTCGCTAGTAGAGTAACATTCTGGTCGAATTGGTGTTTGAGGTGGGAGAGGAACTGGAATGAAAAAATTTCTTCCTTAGTAATAATTAAAGAAAAAAAGATATGTCAATTTTTTTTATAAATTTGTAAAAATTACCTCTGATACATTCGATGTAAGGATTACCAATGAACTCTGATGCACACTGACAGATTCCAGTGTGAGACGTCGCCTTGCATTGAGCATTCAATCCACATTGACTGGTCAAACAAGCCTCGATACAAGTTCCGTCCACACATTTGTCCGAATTATTGCAATCTTGATCCTGGTGACACTGTACGTCTTCCAATACTGTGAAATACAGTTTTTATCAATCGTTGTAGTTCATTTTTTTTTTTAGATATTTCGAAGTTAATTAAAATGATATTTACCAATCTTCTTGCACTGTCCATTTACATCGGTGATGGTATTCGGTGGACAGCTGCAGATCATTGTACGAAGAGGCACTGTGTTCAGCACTTTGCATTCTTGATCTCCGGAGCACATAGTCGACGAGAGGCAAGGATCTTGACATCTTGCGTTGATGCAGGCGAAGAACGATGGGCATTCGCCGTCCTCTTTGCACTCTGCTTCGATGGACACACCTTGAAGAAGAAATAACGATCGTTTTTAATATCAATTGCATCTCTATACGAACAAAAATTCTCTCGGAAGATTAAAATTACCAGTGCATTCGATGTAAGGGTTTCCAGTGGTTCCAAGAGGACAAGTGCACTTAGGCTGATGGTCTCTCGCGATGCATTTAGCAGTGTCCCCACAAGTGTCGTCCTCGCAAACAGGTCGACAAACCCTGTTCAATCTATCGCAGGCTTCATGATCGGCACAATCCTCGTTGTAATGACACACTGCAGAGATACACGCGATTCTCGGATCACCCTGTGTGCCTCGCGGACAAACGCATTGAGCTCTGTGAGAAACTGCGATGCACTGTGCACCACGACCGCATGCGATGTCTCCAACCAAGCAGGGAGTGACACAGTTGTTGTTCTGGCAAGTCTTGTCGTATGGACAGTCGCTGTCTGACTTACACTCAGCTGAAAATAATGAAATTTCCACGTTTTAATTTCGATCTTTCACGGTGAAATGGAAAATTTGGAAGAGCGAAAGGAGAGAAGAGTTGAACTTACGTCTGAAACATTGCATTTGAGGATCTCCGGCGAAATTCTGCTGACAGTGGCAAGTTGGATGATGATTCACGGTGATACACTCGGCGTTTAATCCACACTGAGTGCTCACACACGGATTTTGACAGAATTCGTTTATGCAGGCTTCGTTGGGCGCGCAATCTGTGTTCCTTACACACTCTGGGAACGAGTCAGTGTCTGTAAATGATAAAAAGGCGTTTAATTCACTACATTCAATTTTTCTATTAATTATTCATCTTCTATTCTATAAAAGAATTTCAACAATTACCCCGGTAACAATTTACGAAAGGATCTCCAGCGGTTCCTCGAGAGCAATGACACTGACGGTAGTGATTCTGAACAGAACACTCAGCGTTCGATGCGCAAGGATTAATAGTGCAAGGATTGATGCATCGTTGGTTCAAGCAAGCCATGTTAAACGTGCATTCTGTATCAATGTCGCAGACTGCTTCGATTTGTTTATCCACTAAAAGAAACAACAAATAAATATTACAATAATTACACTCTGTAAAAAATCCATTTAAAGTATATAACAGAATCGAATGAATTTTTACCTGGAATACAAGCAACAGTCGCGTCTCCAGCGAAGTTCGTCAAACATTCACAGATCATAGTTCTCATTGGCAAGGTGTCAACGACAGAACACTTGGCTCCAGCGATGCAAGGCTTCGTTTCTATGCAAGGATCTTTACAAACGCCGTTGAAGCAGCCTAATCTACTCGGACAGTCTCCGTCCACTTGACACTGTGGCTGTGGCTCGATCATTTCTGAAAGAAACACACAATTTTCAATTAAAAATTCCCTACAGTAAAAGTATGAATTCTATGCAGGAAAAAGTGAAGAAAACCGATAGTTACCCAATAGACAAGCGGTGTATGGATCGCCAACGTAGCCAGGAGGGCATCGACAATTGGGACGATGATTAATCACAGAACACTGTGCGGACGGTGGACAGTCGCAAGGATTCACACACTTCAGATCTCGACAAGCCAAAGAATAAGGACAATCGTAGTCAGTGGTACACTCTGGTCTCTCGCACGTTTGATACGGATTTCCTAAGTATCCATCGGGACAGTAGCATCTCGGTTTGTGGTATCCATCTGATCTGCAAAGTGCATTCACGCCACATTGTGTCACAGAACAGGCGTCCAAGCACTCGTTGTTGATGCAGGATTGAGTCAATGGACAGTCACTGTCTCCTCGACAACCAACTGCAAAAAAAGACAGAAATTTTTATGTAAAAATTATTTAAAAAATGGAAATAATGATTGTGATGATATTTAGAGAACGTACTCTCGCGACAGTATTGTTGAGGATTTCCAGTGAAACCTTCGTTGCAAACGCATACAGCACGGTGCAGTTGCACGTGACAGCGGCTGTTGAATCCGCAGGAGTCGAGAGTGCAAGGATCGACGCACTTTTGATTGTAACAAGTCTTGTCGTTGGGGCACTCGGAGTTCTGAGTGCACTCTGGAACTGGTTCTGCAAAAGAATGTGAAGATACAGTGTGAAAAATGTTTTAAAAATATTTAAACAGTGTAAAACATATCGATGAATTTTTAATAATATTCTGTTGCTGTAAATTACCTTCGACTGTTGGTACAGTGCACTGAATTCTTGCGTTACCAGTGAATCCAAATGGACACGAGCAGACAGGCTTATGGTTCACCGTCTGACACAACGAATTAATTCCACAGGCACCGATGCAAGGATCTCTGCATTTCTGTCCGAAACAAGCTCTGTCTCGAGGACAATCTGAGTTAATCACACACTCTGGATAGATACACACTGCAATGTCATTTCTGACTTTGCATTCGCCGTTGTAGCTGCACGGAGACGGGTTGCAAGGATCGGTTTCTGGAATGAACGAATAATATGACAATTCGGAGAAAAATTAAATTGAAGTAAACAGTTGGAGTATTTTATAGTCACCAATTTTAGTGTAACATTCTTCGAATGGATTGCCAATTAACGAAGGTGGACAGCTGCAGAGAGGACTGTGATTGATGGCCTTGCAAATAGCCTTGATACCACACACGTTCTGAGTGCAAGGATTTATGCACTTGTTGTTGATGCAAGCCTTGTCTCCTGGACAGTCTGAGCTGATCACACACTCTGGATGACAGCCAGTGAGGCTCGATGGAATTCCTTGGAGACCAGGGAGACACTTGCAGACTGCTGTGTCGCCGATCTTCTGGCAGATAGTGTTGGGACCGCAAGGAGATGGAGAACAAGGATCCCTTTCTCTGGGTGCTGATACAAAGAAGAAGAAAAATTGAAAATTATATTATTCAAAGAAGATTAATCATTCTGGAGATTTTTAATTCATGCAGGACACTACAAAGTACTTTGGTACTTTGTCCTACTCTTCCTAAAAATAAAGAAAGTTCATACGAGGATAGGTCAGAAAATTCTTCCTTTCTGAGACAGAATAGTCACCTATTACAATTGAATTATTTTCTAAAACATTATCAATGACATACGTACGTTCAGAGACAGCTTGACAGATGGTGAACGCGTCTCCAATAGTAGGCAGAGGACAAGAGCAAATAGGAATGTGATTAGACACTGTGCAGATAGCTCCAACTCCACAGGTACCAGGACAAGGATCCTGACACTTGGTCCTGATGCAAGCCTGCGATTTCGAACAGTCGGTGTTCATCAGACACTCCGGTTGACAGCCTTCGTACGGGTTTCCTCTGAAATCTGGCAGACACTCGCAATAGGCACTGTTGTACCTTTCTCTGCAGTAAGCGTTGACTCCGCAAGGCGATGGACTGCATGGTCTCGATGGTGTCGGTGGTTCTGGAGATACTACAATAAAATCCAACACACAAGACAGAATTAACATCCCCCTTCGAAAACATTGCACTGAGAGTTATTGAAAGAGAAGAAAAATTGCGTGATCGTGAGAAGAGTTATTTTACAAAAATGTACATAAACGTATGAACGGAGATGCACGTGAGAGAAAATTGATAGAGAATGGAGAACGTGTGTGAACAGTACACTACTTGAAACTGGGAATAGTGGTAGGTACTCTACCTAAAATCCTCATGCAATCTGTCTATGTATCATACAATATATACTTCTCTATGTACAATATATACAGACAGCTAAAAGGAAACAGAAAAGCAAATTCAATGAAATATCCTCTTGAAGGAGGAAACATTAGAACAAATGAACAATCGCGGTGTCATCTCTCGTTCTCGGAGAAGAAAACAATAATTTCTCGTTTCGATTATCCACGCAGGATTATTCCTTACTCTTGGCCACGGAACAACTAGTGAACGGATCTCCTGTGTATCCCTCGGGACACACGCAACGGATGTAATGCAGGGTAACTTGGCAGAGTGCGTTAGAGCCGCACAATCCTGAGCACGGGTCGGTGCATCTCTGCTTAACGCACGCCTGATTGCCAGGACACTCGCTGTTTATGAGACACTCGGGCCTACAGTTGGGAGGAGAGCCTGTGAACTCGGGCATACAGGCGCAGGAGGCTTTATTGTCTGGTGAAATGGTGCATTGGGAGTTTGGTCCACATGGTGAGGGCTTGCACGGATCCTGGCTGGGCTCTTCGTACAGCGTTTCTGCTCGTTGACAAATTTTATGGTTAGCGGAGTGTCTGAAAGCTCGAAGATTGGGATCAGTGCTGTCCAAAGTAAGAACTCTAGTAGACAATTCTGGACTGAATGATTAAAGAAAATTCGATATTAGAACTGTCTACAGGAGTTCAATAGATATTCATTGGACACAGGGTCAGCATTGAGGTCTCTTCAGCGAACTCTTCCAAAGCATCTTCTTCCACTTTGCTCTTATAATTATTGAAGAAACAGCTTCACAGATGGACAGCACTGATTCACAGGGTCTTCTCCAGGCTACTTACTCATAGGGAAACAGCTGACGAACGGGTCACCGGAGTACTGTTCAGGGCAACTGCAAATAGGGTTGTGATTTCTCACGGTGCATAGTGCACCCTGACCACAGGCGTTTTCACAAGGGTTCTGGCATCTCTCGTTGACGCAAGCTCTGTTCTGCTCGCAGTCAGAGTTCACTAGACACTCTGGTCTACAGCTGGGTGGAGTTCCGAAGTATCCAGGGAGGCAAGAGCAAGAAGCTTGCTCGCTAAACTCGCGACAGATGCTGTTGGGTCCGCAGGGTGTGGGTTCACAGGGTTTCACACGCTCTGTTATTATGTGACAGGTAGAACATTCATTAGTGAACAATCACTAGGGTGTAATTCTTCTTGAGAATTAATCAGGGACAGTTGCACTTACTTCTAACAGGTTTACAGAGGGTAAATGGATCTCCTTCGTGGTTCTCCACGCAACTGCAAGTAGGAATGTGATTAACCACCATGCACTCTGCGTTCTGACCACAGATTCCGGTGCAAGGGTCCACGCATTTGTTGTTGGAGCAGGCTCTGTCGTAGGTGCAGTCTGAATTTTGGACACACTCTGGTCGACAGCCTTGGTAGGGATCGCCACGGTATTCGGTTATGCAACTGCACACACCGTTTCGACAGAGAGCGTTTGGACCACAGGGTGATGGGTTGCATGGGTCAGAGGTCACTGGGAGGGCTGCTGCATTGTTTTAAAGAACATAGCAAGAATCAGCCGTTGCTCTAGCTCTGACCATAAAGTATCCTCGATCAAATGAAACATATTCTTACATGTGGGCATTGGACGGCAGCTAGTGAACGGATCACCAGTGTACTCTCTAGGACAGGTGCAGACAGGTGTATGATTGATCACGTTACAAAGAGCACCAGCTCCACACGATCCTGGACAAGGATCTCTACACTTCTCCCTGATGCAAGACTTGTCACTGATACAATCTGAGTTGATGGAACACTCTGGTCTACAGTTCGGAGCTGAGCCAACGTAATTAGGCAAACAGGAGCAGGATGGAGTGCCTCCTGTGTCCTGACACTGTGAGAATGGTCCACAGGGTGATGGAACGCAGGGGTTCACGGGTACAGGTGGTAGTGTTGCTAAAATAGGACACCAGGTCAATGACTCCTTTCGTAAATACGATTCCAAGCTAGTACTTTCTTGGATCGTTCACTTACTGGTCACGTCGAAGCATTTTACGAACGGATCTCCAGTTTGACCAGAGTTACAGCTACAAATGGGACTGTGATGGAAGGTCTCGCATCTTGCGCTTATTCCACAAACTCCGGGACAAGGATCAACGCATTTCTGGTTCACGCAAGCTCTATTGTTCCCGCATTCTGTGCTCACTACGCATTCTGGTCTGCATCTTGGAGGAGTACCCTTGAAACTGGCCTGACAAGAGCAACTTGCCTGGCCATTTACGTTGCGACACTGACTATTGGGTCCACAGGGCGATGGTTCGCAAGGATTCGAGGGACTTGGTGCAGCTGTTATATCACGTCATCGTTAGATCACGTTCTATACAATTATAGAGAACATGTTCTAAAATTTAGGAAGGACTTACGAGGTTGCTCGAATATACCACAGCTTCTGAAGGGATCTCCGGAGTAACCTGACCTACAGCTGCAAGCTGGAATGTGATTCACCACCTGACAGTCAGCATTGAAGCCACAAGTTCCTGGACAGGGATCCTGACACTTGTTCCTCATGCAAGCTCGATTGAATGGGCAGTCAGAGTTAATGAGACACTCTGGCCTACAGTTTTCGTACGGGTTACCGTAGAAATCAGGCAAACATGTGCATTGCGCTGTGCCATAGGATTCGCGACAAACTGCGTTGGGTCCGCAAGGAGATAGTTGACATGGGTTCAGTTTTTCTGGGATATCTTCGACTACAAGAGGAACAGAACAGCGAAATCAATTTTCTTCGGTCCAGACCTAGAGATGAATGGTGTGATAGAGGAAACTCTTACTTGGCTGAGGTGTACATTGCACAAATGGATTTCCAGTGAAACTACTAGCACAAGTACACATAGGTGTGTGACTAATGGTCCTACACTCTGTGTTCCTGCCACAGGAACCCGGACAAGGGTCTCTGCACTTCTGGTTGATGCAAGCTTGTTGCGTCGGGCACTCTGTGTTGCTCACACACTCTGGTTTACAGTTTGGTGGGGTTCCTATGAACTCTGAGAGGCAAGAACACGAGGGCGAGTTGTTGATCACCTGACACTGGGCGTTTGGACCACAGGGTGATGGTTGACAAGGGTTCACTGGGACATCTGGTTCTTTTGCTGCAAGGGAAGTAACATTCTATCAAGCTATCCTTCGAGAAATGGGAGGAAAAAGGAGTAAGAACGAGTCTTACTTTGAGGAACACACTGAACGAATGGATCTCCGGTGTATTGTTCGAAGCAGCTGCACACAGGATTGTGATTGATCACAGAACACTGTGCGGAAAATCCACAAGCACCGAGACAAGGATCTATGCACTTCTGATTGCTGCAAGCTCTGTTACGAGGGCAATCAGAGCTCACGACACACTCTGGTCTACAGGATGGCGGTATTCCTTTGAATCCAGTGACGCAACTACAGACAGCTTGGCCATTGGAGGAACGACAGTGACTGTTTGGACCGCAGGGTGATGGATTGCATGGGTCGACAATAGCAGTTTCTGTACGACATTAACAAGCACGTTCGTTCTAAAAGTTCGCTGAAAAGGGGACCAATTAGGGGACCAACCTTGAATAGGATTACACGAAAGGAACGCATTGCCTGTCGTGTTCCTAGGACAGCTGCACATAGGCAGATGATTGACCACGTTGCACTCTGCGTTCAATCCGCAGGTTCCTATACACGGGTTCCTACATTTGTGTAAAATGCAAGCTTCGTTTCGGGAACAGTCTGTGTTGATGACACACTCGGGGCGACAGATAGAGTAGGGATCTCCCAAGTATCCAGGTACACAAAGACACCTTCCGTTGTTGCACTGAGCGTTCGGTCCACATGGTGACGGATTGCACGGGTCAGTTGGAGCTTCCGTGACTGGAAAAAACGGGTCAATGTAGAGATTCGAATGTGACATCGTCTGGAATACATCGGCGAATTTCTTCGGCTTACTGGATGGTGGAGGATTAGGTGAACAGCTGACGAAGGGATCGCCGGTGTATCCTTCAGGACAAGTGCAAGCTGGAGTGTGATTTACAACCGTGCAACGTGCATTCACTCCGCAGGAACCTGGACATGGGTCTCTACACCTCTCACGAAGGCAAGATCTGTCTGCTGTGCAGTCTGAATTGATGGAACACTCTGGTCGACAGTTTGGTGGCACTCCAATGTAGTTGTTCATGCAAGTGCAGACTGGTGTGTCACCGATAGCCTTGCACATTGCGTTTGTACCACACGGAGATGGTACACACGGGTCTTTCGTGTACTGGTCTTCAGGTTTGGGCACTGGAAGAAGAATCATTGAAGCACAGGTTCACACAGCAGAGACTTCTTAGGAAAACTCGTGAAAGAAGTATTCTTCGTGGCTTACTTGGAGCTGGGAAACAGTAGACGAATGGATCTCCTGTTAAACCACTTCCACAGCTACAAATAGGACTATGATAGACCACCTTGCACTGTGCATTTCGACCACAGGTGCCAGGACATGGATCCTTGCACTTCTGGTTGATGCAAGCAAGGTTCGAGTTGCATTCCGAGTTCACTACGCATTCTGGTCTACAACTTGGTGGGGTTCCTACGTATTGAGACATGCAAGAGCACACAGCCTGGCCATTTACGTTCTGACACTGGCTGTTTGGACCGCAAGGTGACGGCTGACAGACGTCTCGTTCTTCTTCTTCGACTGTGTAACATTGGAATTGTAATTCCACTGGAAAAAAGCGAAATTCGAACGAAATTCCTGGACTACTCACTCGTGGGTATCTTATAGACACAGTTTACGTAAGGATCTCCGGTGTATTGAGGGATACAAGTGCATACAGGTAGATTATTCACCACCTGGCAGTTGGTGTTAGCGCCGCAAGAACCGGGACAAGGATTCTGGCACTTGGATCTGATACAAGCCAAATGAGAGGGACAGTCTGACGATCTTGTGCATTCTGGTCGACATCCTTCGTAAGGATTGCCTATGTATTCAGCTAAACAGGCGCAGGAGCTGAAGCCATTCTGCTCACGGCAAATGGCGTTAGCTCCGCAGGGAGAAGGTTGACAGGGGCGTGCTGGAACCATTGTATCCGCTATAAGGAAGAAGAATTTTCAATGAAACCTGACCGTCCATTAAACTCCTATTTCTCCAAGATGGTCTTCGAGAGACTTACGTTGCTTGACGAAGCACTGAACGAAAGGATCTCCCGTGAAATCCTTGGCACAAGTGCACGATGGTACATGATTCAACACGCGACACTCGGCATTAGAGCCACAGGAACCTGGACATGGGTCTCTGCACTTGCGATTGATGCAAGCTAAATGACTACTGCATTCACTGTTGCTGATACACTCTGGTCTACAGTTTGGAGGAGTGCCAATGAATTCTGCCTTGCACGAACAGGATGGAGAATTGTTCGTCACTTGACAGACTGCGTTGGGACCACATGGTGATGGTTGACAGGGATTTGTTGGTTGCACTGGTTCTTCAGCTTTAAAAGAATCCGGAGAATGAGCCTCTACTCCTCGATTCAAGATGATATCATTGAATTGGATAAAAATAGAGGACACCTACATCTAGGTAGACAACGAACGAAGGGATCTCCGGTGAACACTGGAGGACAGCTGCAAATGGGATTGTGATTGACCACTTGACACCTAGCAGACACTCCACAAGATCCAGGACATGGATCCCTACACTTCAGGTTCACGCAAGCCTCGTTCAATGGACAGTCACTGTTAACTATACATTCTGGACGACAGGCTGGTGGATTTCCAATGTATCCAAGGACACACGAACAGACTGCCTGTCCACTGAAGTCCTGACATCTACTATTGGGACCACAGGGTGATGGATTGCAGGGTTCTACCACAACTGGGTCTACAAAACGAAAGATTCCTTGATGGTCCTGTCACTGGTAGCTTCTGGACATTCAGTGACACTGTGATGGAGTGTTGATAATTTACCTTTCACCGGGTGGCACGTAGTGAATGCATTTCCTGACATTCCATCGGGACAACTGCACATAGGAGTATGATTAATCACCACACACTCGGCGTTCTGACCACAGACACCGATACAAGGGTCGAAACACTTGTTCCGGTTGCAAGCTTTGTCGAGAGGACAGTCTGGGTTCTGTACACACTCTGGTCGACATCCATAATATGGATCACCGCGGTATTCTGATAGACAAGAGCAGGTACCATCACGACAGACTGCGTTTGAGCCGCACGGTGAAGGATTGCAGGCATCTTGAGGAACGGGTTGTGAAGCTAGCAAAGAGAATTCCATCAGAAGACTTTGCTTCGAATAAATTACAAATAGACAATGATAAGAGCTTACGAGGAGATTCTATGAAGCAATTGACAAACGGATCGCCAGTGTATCCCTTGGGACAGGTGCACACAGCCATGTGGTTCACCACGAGACACTGAGCACCTGTACCACAGGATCCTGGACAAGGATCGGTACACTTCTGTCTGAGACAAGCTCTATTGCTGGCACATTCTGAGTCTATGGTGCATTCTGGTCGACAGTTCGGTGGAGATCCCATGTAATTGTCCATACAAGAACAACTTGGCAATTCTGCGTTACCCAGGACGCGACACAGGGAGAATGGTCCACAAGGTGATGGTACGCAAGGGTTCACTGGTTCAGACACCGCTGAAGAGGAATTTTACTGTCAGAAATATTCTTGGGAACCTATCAAGATGTTTCGTATCCTACTCACTTGGAACCTTGAAACATCTAACGAATGGGTCACCAGTGTATTCCATGTTACAGCTGCAAATAGGACTGTGATTGATAGCCTCACACCTGGCATTGATACCGCAAATACCTGGACAAGGATCCACGCATTTACGGTTCTTGCAGGCGCGATTCGTTGCACAGTCTGAGCTGACTGTACACTCTGGTCTGCACATGGGTGGTGTGCCCATGAATGTGGGTGAACAGGAGCAAATAGCTTGTCCATTGGACACTTTACATTGACTGTTTAGGCCACAGGGCGATGGACTGCAAGGATCAGCTGGTTTTGCTACAGAAAAATGTTTATCATAAATCTCTATTTTTTCTCTTTTGATTCTTCTTCTTCTGAAGTTACCCTAATCACTTACGAAGTGCTTGGACAATGTTACACTGAACAAATGGATCACCAGTGTATCCAAATTGACAAGTACACAGAGGAGCATGATTGACAACCTGACAGACTACGTTGTATCCACAGAATCCTGGACAAGGGTTCTGACACTTGGATCTAACGCAAGCCTGATCGGCTGTGCAATCAGAATTGATGATACACTCTGGTCTACAGCCTTCGTAGGGGTTTCCAATGTAGTCTGAGAGACATTTACAGGATGCTGCACCGTTTTGCTCGTTGCACATAGCATTCGAACCACAGGGCGATGGTACACAGGGTGTGGGTTTCTCCAATGAATCTTCGATGACTAGAAAATTATATTTCTCATGATATTTACCCCCAAAAATGGGATTTCTTCATGACTGATGATAGGGAACACGACTTACCTGGTTTTGGAACACACTGAATGAACGGATCACCAATGAAACCATAAGAACAGACACACATAGGAGTATGACTGATCACTCTGCATTCAGCATTGGAACCACACGATCCAGGACAAGGATCGCGACACTTTTGATTGATACAGGCCAAATGGGTGGAACATTCGCTGTTACTGATACATTCTGGTTTGCAATTCGGCGGAGATCCTAAAAATTCAGGTAGACAGGTGCAAGAGGGTGAATTGTTTATGACTTGGCATCGACTGTTTGCTCCGCAGGGTGATGGCACGCATGGGTTCTGAACTTGAGGTTCTTCAGCTGTCAAAGGGAATAGAAAAATGATGGAATGAATGATTTTTTAAAACGATAATAAATTTCTAATTGATCTTTGCGATTGAAATTGGCTACTCACGTCTTCTTATGCACACGGTGAATGGATCACCGGTCAGATCCGAGGGACAGCTACAAATGGGGTTGTGATTCACGACCACACACTCTGCTCTAATTCCGCAAGTACCTGGACAAGGATCTACGCATTTCTGATTGTTACATGCCATATTGGATGGACAGTCTGAGCTTAGAATACACTCTGGTCTACAATTTGGAGGAGTGTCTAGGTAGCCAGGGATGCAAGAGCAGACTGCTTGGTCGTTTATCTTTCTGCACTGGCTGTTGGGTCCACAGGGCGATGGATTACATGGATCTTTAGGCGTTTGAACTGTTCGTGGATGAATTACAATATGAATTAGACATGGTAACACTCTGAACTACCTAGGAAATGATCGTCCAATTGTACCTCGAACAGTAGAGCACACAACGAATGCGTTTCCAGAGGTTCCAGGTCGACAAGTGCAGACAGGGATATGATTCACCACAGAACACAAGGCATTCTGGCCACAAGTGCCAGAGCATGGATCGTTACACTTGCTCTTAATACAGGCTCTGTCTCTTGGACAGTCTGAATTCAGGACACACTCTGGACGACAACCTAAATAAGGATCTCCTTGATACTCTGGTAGACAAGTACAGGTCCCATCGAGACACTGGGTATTCGCTCCACAATTCAGGCAAGAATCAGCTGGTTTGTCCATTTCCACCACTTGAATAAAATTTATCAAGTGTTACATCGAATTATACATCCAAATATTGATGGTTTATGGGTAAATGATTTATACCTGGAGCAGGGGAGCATCTGACGAAAGGATCTCCAGAGAATCCTTCAGTACAGGTGCAAATGGGAGTGTGATTGATGACAGAACACTGTGCACCTACTCCACAGACTCCTTCACACGGATAACGACACTTCTTCTGAATACAAGCTTGATTGCTAGGACACTCTGAATTTCGAATACACTCTGGTCTACAATTTGGCGGCGTTCCCATGTATTCTGCTAAACAGGCACAAGAAGCTTGGCCATTTATGTCGCGACAGTCTGAATAGGGTCCACAGGGTGAGGGGACGCAAGGGTTCACGTTTGGTTGCATTAGTGAAGGTCTTTCAGCTGGAATAATACATAGAAATGAAGTAATTCTTCCTCGGGAATATCTCAAGATATATCAGAGGATTTCAAGGACTTACTGATCACATCGAAACAAGCTACAAGTGGATCGCCAGTGAAGCTTGGCTGACAAGAGCAAATGGCTCTGTGATTAATGGTTTCGCATCTAGTGTTCGAGCCACAGGATCCAGGACAAGGATCGCTACATTTCTGATTGATACAGGCCAAGTTTGAAGCGCATTCTGCGCTGACAGTGCACTCTGGTCTGCAGGCTGGTGGGCTGCCTTTGAACTCGGGCAAACATGAACAGACAGACTGTCCATTGATTGCTCTGCACTGACTGTTTGGTCCACAGGGTGATGGATTGCATGGACGACTGATCGTTTGGTCAACTTCTACAAAGGGAATCACGTGAAGAAATTCTTCTGAGCTAGCAGAAAGACTGCTTTTTAAAGGGCAAAACGTACCTAATTTAATGGGTATGCACAGGACGAAAGCATTGCCAGTGTGTCTCGGATAGCACTCACAGATAGGCAAGTGATTAATCACATGACACTCTGCATTGCGACCACATGTTCCTGGACAAGGATCTCTGCACCTAGTGTTCATGCAAGCCTGATTGGCAGGACAGTCGGAATTTAAGAGACACTCTGGTCGACATCCTTCGTACGGATTGCCAATGTAATTGGTAATACAACTGCAAGAACCTGCGCCGTTCAGTTCGTTGCAAACGGCGTTGGAACCGCAAGGAGATGGATTGCAAGGTTCGACTGGCATTTGAATAACTGCTTCTGCAAAATGATCGAGCAGTGAAGAAGGATCTCTAACACGAGAAGACAAAGTGTTTCTCTTAAGAATTCACTCTTACGTTCTTTGAAAACACACTGAGTGAATGGATCACCGGTGTAGCCACTCAGACAAGTGCACATTGGAGTGTGACTGACAACGAGACAGTTTGCACTTGCTCCACAGGAGCCTACGCAAGGATCTCTGCATTTCTGATTGATGCAAGCTAGTTGACTAGCGCATTCGCTGTTACTGACACATTCTGGCCTGCAATTAGGTGGACTGCCAGAGAATTCTGGTGAACAGGAGCACGAGGGAGAGTCGTTGATCACTTGGCACTGAGAATTTGGACCACAGGGCGATGGTTTGCAGGGGTCTACTACTGGTTCCTCCACTGTAACGAATGAAATCTTCGTCTTCACACAAAGAACAGGACTGGCGATGGATTATTAAGTTACTGAATGGGAAGATGGTGGATTCTTACAGAATGGCATGCACTGTACGAAAGGATCTCCCGTGTAACGCAACGGACAGCTGCACACGGGATTATGGTTGACGACGTTGCACTTAGCTCCAAGTCCACAGGTTCCTGGACAAGGGTTCGTGCACCTCTGATTGTTACAAGCTTCGTTCTGTGGGCAATCAGTGCTCACTATACACTCGGGTCTGCAGGTCGGTGGGCTTCCTAAGTATCCTCTGATGCAGGAGCAAACTGCCTGACCGTTCACTACTCTGCACTCGCTATTGGGTCCGCAGGGTGTTGGGCTACATGGATTGATGGTTATGATATCTGACAATAAACAAAAAGAATTATTCCTCGAATTCTTCTGAATGAAACGCGGCATGCAAGGGATTCGAAATGAAATTTCTGGTTAATCGCTACCTTGCAGAGGGGTACACTGACTGAACGCGTTGCCAGTCATGTTTCCAGGACAGCTGCACATGGGTATATGATTAATAACCATGCACAAGGCGTTCAGGCCACAGGTTCCAGGACATAGGTCAGTGCACTTGTTACGCAAACAGGCTCTGTCTCGAGGACAGTCTGAGTTTAGGACACATTCAGGTCGACATCCTAGGTATGGGTTTCCTTGGAACTCTGGTAGACAGGTGCAAACGCCGTTCGTGCACTCTGCGTTGGGGCCACAGGGTGACGGGGAACATTGGTCTTCTATCGGCGTCAGTAGAGGTGCTGCAAAGGCAAACGAATTATAGTAACAGGTCACAGGTATCGTTCTAACTGCGGACAATTCAGGGAGGCTGAAGATTTCGGTCCTTACGTGTAGCTGGTAGCAATTGACACGCGGTAAACGGATTTCCAGTGAAACCTTCGGGGCAATTGCACACGGGAATGTGGTTAACTACTGCACAGAGGGCACCGGAGCCGCAGGAACCAGGACAGGGGTCTCTACACTTCATGTTGATGCAGGCCACGTTGCTCTGACACTCTGAATTAATCGTACACTCGGGTCTGCAATTCGGTGGCTGGCCTGTGTAGCCTTCTTGACAGCTACAGGCAGCTGAGCCACGGACATTTCTGCACTGGGCGAAACTGCCGCACGGGGATGGCACACAGGGGTCTCTCTCCGTTGGGCCAGGGATCGTGACGGCTAAAAGTGGGGTTGATGTTTCATCGTGCAAGGATTTCAGGCGAAATTGTTCGATAGAGTAGTGAAGAAAGTGGAGTTACGCGAGTCAGAGGCAGCTAAGATTCTTACGTGGAATTGGCGTGCAAGTGGTGAAAGGATCACCGCTGTATCCAGGCATGCAGCTACAAATGGGACTGTGGTTCACGACCACACACTCGGTGTTCAGGCCACAGGGATACGGGCACGGGTTCATGCACTTGTAGTCCTTGCACGCGAGTTGGGTGGGACACTCGGAGCTAGCTACACACTCGGGTCTGCATCCAGGTGGGGTGCCTACATAGGTGGGCAGGCAGGAGCACACAGCTTGACCGGAAACTTCTTTGCACTGGCTGTTGGGGCCGCAGGGTGACGGGCTACAGACGTTCTCTTTCGGGACTATCACTGAGGGAAACAAGTTGCATTTCATTAACACTCCGTAGAAACAACTGGAACTCTGGAATAGGCACGGAATTCCTCAAGGACTTTAAAAGATAAACTCGCGGCCTCTAGAATTTCTCGAAAATTCCAATTGAAGATAGGGTAAAACAGAGTTCATCCCACTTACTATCCATAGTACACACGACAAACGAGTCGCCAGTGAATCCTGGCCGGCAATTGCAGAAGGGTTGATGGTTAACAACAGAGCATTCGGCGTTCTGGCCACAGGTTCCGGGACAAGGGTCTTGGCACTTGTTTCTCACGCACATTTTGTTCGACGGACAATCAGGATTAATGACACACTCGGGTCTACAGCCTACGTAGGGATTGCCGACGTATTCAGAGGGGCAATAACACAATCCAACACCGTCTCGTTCTCTGCACAACGCGTTCGTGCCGCAAGTGCCATCGTCGCAGGGCGAGGGTTCCGGGTCGCGAGCTAAAACAATGAAAAATCATGTAAATTAGTTGATCAGGACAATCTTCCAGAGCATGCACTTCTCCCTTCGTTCCTTCTTACTTATTATCGCGCAACGGGTATACGGGTCTCCGGTGAAACCACTTGGACAAACGCAGTTAGGTACGTGGTAGGTCACGTGACACTCTGCGAGCTCTCCACAGAGGCCTGGACAGGGATCTCTGCACTTTTGTTGCACGCAGGTTTGGTGGCTGGGGCACTCGGAGTTCGATATGCACTCGGGTCTGCAGTTTGGCGGGGAACCTTTGTATTCTGCTAGACAACTACAGGATGGGTTGTCGTTGATCACTTGGCACTGAGAGTAGGGGCCACAGGGTGACGGTTGGCAGGGGTTCGTGGGCACTACTACCTCTTCTACGAAGGAGGAATCGGTCAGATTATCTCACGAGTTGTAAATTATTTATCAATCGTATGTACAGGATTTCTTGGAATCCTTATAAGACTCCAATTTACGACACTGTACATAAGATCTAGAGGTTTTCTAAGATATCTATACGTCTGCTTACTGATCATTTCGCATCTGATAAACGGATCCCCGGTGTATCTCTCGGGACAAGAGCACACAGGGTTATGGTTCACCACAATGCAGGTTGCTAGGACACCACAAGTTCCTGGACAAGGATCTCTGCACTTTTGGTTCACGCAAGCTTGGTTCTTTCGACAGTCTGAACTGATCGTACACTCTGGTCTACACAGAGGTGGAGTTCCAAGGTATTCTGGGGCACAGGTGCACACAGCTTGGTCGTTCACCTCTCTGCAGATACTGTTTGGACCACATGGAGATGGGTTGCAGGGTCTCGTTGTTGTGGGAACTGTTATTCGATAGTTAAAAGCGATCGAATCATTTTTTCAATGGTGTAGATGTGTTAAAAAATGAAGGAGGGACTAATGTGTACCTTGGACAGGTGAACACACTATCAGAGCGTTTCCACTGGTCCTAGCAGGGCAACTGCACATGGGTATATGATTGATAACGTTGCACTGAGCGTTCTGACCGCAAGCTCCAGGGCAAGGATCCACGCATTTGTTTCTTATACACGCTCTATCGTTAGAACAGTCTGTACTTAATACGCATTCAGGTCGACAGCTGATGTAAGGGTTTCCAGAATATTCTGGCAAGCAGGTACAGGCACCGTTGTTGCACTCTGCGTTGGGACCACATGGAGACTTGCTGCATGGATCTATCGCTGTCTCTTCTGCTTCTGATTCAACGTTAATTCATCAGTGAGACTGTTTAGGGTTGTCAGTTTAATTTTGTTAGCTCTAGATAGTCGGTAGAACTTACTCATCGGTTTGAATTGACAACTGGTGAAAGGATCTCCAGTGTATCCTTCCAAACATGTGCAAATAGGTACATGATTGTGAACAGTGCAGACACTGTTAATTCCGCAGGATCCTGGACAAGGATCCTGACACTTCTCTCGAATACAGGCCTGATCTCTGGGACAGTCTGCGTTGATAACACACTCTGGACGACAATTTGGCGGAGCACCGATGTAATTGGTTAAACAGGAGCAAGAAGGGGAGCCGTTGATGTTGCGACATTGGGAATTAGCTCCACAAGGAGAGTTTATGCAGGGATCTACTGGTGTTTCGACAACTGGGACGGCTAAAATTCAATAGTTACCTCGATTACCTTGATTTCCTTCGTGTAAAGATCGAAAGGATGCTTCGATAAATTTCTCAATTCTTACGTGGACTGAAGAAGCAGTAAGTGAAAGGATCGCCGGTGTAACCTGGCTTGCAACTGCAGATAGGGCTATGATTCACCACTCTGCAAGTGCTTTGCTGTCCACAGGAGTCGGGACATGGATCGACGCATTTATTGTTCCTACATGCAAGGTTTAACGAACAATCAGAGCTGACAGTGCACTCTGGTCTGCAATTTGGAGGTGTTCCTACGTAAGTTGGTAGACAAGAACACGTAGCTTGTCCATTGGACTCTCTGCATTGACTGTAGGATCCGCAGGGCGATGGTTCGCAAGGATTTACGAGATTAGGCTCGGGTTCTACAAGAGAATTTAACGTTACCTATCGTCCCTATCAATTGAAATATTTTTTTTATTAGATATGCGACTTTTTTGAGGATTTTCTTACGTGGTTCTCTAGATGGATTACAGTATACGAAAGGATCTCCAGTGTACCGCTCGAAGCAGCTGCAAGTGGCAGCATGATTGACAACGTAACACTGTGCATTCTGGCCACAAGTTCCAGGACAGGGGTCTTTACATTTCGATCTGATACAAGCTTGATTCGATGGACAATCTGAGCTAAGGGTACACTCAGGTCTGCATCCTTCGTAAGGATTGCCGATGTAGTCGTTCTGACAGGAACAAGAAGCTGTATTCTGCTGCACCCTACAGATTGCATTCGCTCCACATGGAGAAGGTGTGCAAGGAGCTGGTGGTCTGCTGACTTGAATGTCGACTAAAAATATTGAAAGAAATTCTCATCGTCTGAACTTTAGACAAATCGATCTGCAAGAGAGTTCTCGATCCTTACATTGCTGTGGTATACACTGAGTAAACGGATCTCCGGTGTAACCATTGGTGCAAACACACATAGCAGTGTGGCTGACCACGTTGCAAATTGCATTTACACCGCAGGAGTTTACACAAGGATTCTGACACTTCTGGCTGATGCACGCTAATTGATTGGAACATTCACTGTTGCTGACACACTCTGGACGACAGTTGGGAGGCGATCCTATGAATTCTCGAAGGCAGGAACAGGATGGTTGATCGTTCACTATCTGACAGTCTGCGTTTGGACCACAAGGGGATGGTTGACAGGGGTTGACTGGAGTTGGAGGTCTCTCCGCTTCAAGATTCACGAATACAACGTTAATCTAAATATTCCAAGTATCGTCGAAGAAGAAAAATGGATAAAATTTCGTTTTTGAAGATTCTTACGCATTGGATAGCAATTGACGAATGGATCACCAGGATTGTGATTCACGACATTACAAACTGTATTTATCCCACAACTTCCTGCACAAGGATCTCTGCATCTCTGATTGCTGCAAGCTTCGTTCAGAGGACAATCTGAGCTAACTACACACTCTGGTCTACAAGTGGGAGGTGCACCAATGAATCCATTTATGCAAGAGCACACAGCTTGCATGTTATTCTGTCTGCATTGACTGTTGGGACCACATGGTGATGGGTTGCATGGGTCACTGACTGTGGTTACTAAAATTATCCCAAAATTTTACCTTGATAATTCTTCTATCACATTTCTGGAGCAAAGAGATGTGCTTTGCACCTTACAACATACCTTGAACGGGAGAACAGAGTACAAAAGCGTTTCCAGCCATTCCTGAGGGACAATTGCACATGGGAACATGGTTGAAAACGTTGCACAAGGCACTCTGTCCACAGACACCGACACAAGGATCCACGCATTTATTTCTAACGCACGCTCTATTGGTTGGACAGTCGTTGTTCAAGACACACTCTGGTCTGCAGCCTGTATATGGGTCACCAGAGTATTCTGGCAAACATGTGCAAGCACCATTGTCGCAACGTGCGTTTGATCCACAAGGTGAGGGTGTGCATGGGTCAGTTTCAACAGGACGAGCTATAATGTTTGAATATTAACAGGATGCTCGAAAATTGTGTTAAATAATGAGATTTACTATTGGGATTCTTACGTGGTTCGATGATACAATTGGTGAAAGGATCTCCGGTGTAACCAGGAAGGCAAGAGCAAGTAGGAACGTGATTAACCACGGTACACTGAGCCAAAAGGGCACAAGAACCGGGACAAGGATCTCTGCATCTCTGTTGCATGCAAGCTTGATTTGGAGGACAGTCTGAATTGATGGTACACTCTGGTCGACAGTTCGGTGGACTTCCGGTGTAGGTAGCCAGACAAGAGCAGGATGGTACTCCTCCAATGTCTCTACACTCTGAATAGACTCCGCAAGGGGATGGAATGCAAGGGTCTCTTGGAGCTAGGTCTGTCTGAGTAGGTGGTGTCACTAAAATTGGGAATATAAGTCTCTGTCATTCTTTGGATTTCAAAAATTAATTATAATTGGTCTCGGTATCTTCGAGAACCAGTCTTCTGATAAGTGTAACTAAGATTGCACTGGGTACAAATTAATTACAAACGAGGTCTTCTTCTCGTTTCTTTTTTCGTCAAAAATATAAAGTTAGGCTTGGAACTCTACTTACATGGAATAGGGAAGCACACAGTGAAAGGATCACCAGTGTACCCTCTCATGCAATTACAAAGAGGCGCATGGTTGATCATTCTGCAGTCAGTGTTCTGTCCACACGAAGTAGGACAAGGATTCACGCACTTCTGCCTCACACAAGCCTTATCAGAGGCACATTCCGAGCTGGTAACACACTCAGGTCTACAACCTGGAGGTGTACCCATGTATCCAGGCATGCAAGAGCAAACAGCCACTTGATTGATTACTCTACATTGACTATTTGGACCACACTGACCATTTCCACATGGGTCACTCGCAGGGACATCGGAAACTAAAGGATATTTTGTTATTTAGTCTCTTCTTGTGATAATTGCTGAAGGATTAGGGTGACCTGAACTTACCAACTGGTTGAATAGAGCAGTATCGATAAGGATCACCAGCATAGCTTGAGAAACAGGAGCAAGAAGCTCTGTGATTGACAACGCGACACTCTGCGTTGGTACCACACGTTCCTGGACACGAATCGACGCATTTCGAGTTGATACAGGCTCTTGTTGGTGAACAGTCGGAGTCTAAGACACATTCTGGTCTGCAGCCTTCGTAAGGATTGCCTAGGTAACCCGGAAGACACGCGCAGGAGCCTACATCGTTTCTTTCTGTGCACCTTGCGTTTGATCCACAAGGGGATGGTAGACAGGGATTGACTTTCGTTGGTGTATCTTCGACTAGAATGGCAAAGGACGTCATGGACTTGTGGTACTGAAGCATTGAGTCACTGCAGAAATTTTTCCAGTGACCTAACGACAATTTTATGTATATGAGAAGTCTTACTGGGTCGAATGAAGCACTGCGTGAACGGATCACCAGTGTAGCCTGCGTCACAGTAGCACATAGGCGTGTGACTGACAGTGCGACACTGTGAATTCGCTCCACAAGAACCAACGCAAGGATCTCTGCACTTTTGGTTCACGCAAGCTTGATGACTTGGACATTCGTTGTTGCTGATGCACTCAGGTCTGCAGTTTGGTGGAGAACCGGTGAATTCAGGCAAACAGGTGCAGGAAGGAGAGTTTCCTGATATTTGACACTGAGCATTGGGTCCACAAGGTGATGGCTGGCAGACGTTTATGGGTTCTTGCGGTACTGGTGCTACAAATTTGATTATTTAGGTATTACGTGTGATTTTTAGGGGACGTTTAAGTGTGATAGATAGACGAAGAAAAGAACTTACGAAGTGGAAAACATCTAACGAAAGGATCTCCCGTGAATCCTTCGGGACAATGGCAAATTGGGTTACGATTAGCTACTGTGCAACGAGCTCCAAGGCCACAAGAGCCAATACAAGGGTCCCTGCACTTCTGGTTCGAGCATATCTCATTGGGAGGACACTCAGAGCTAACTATGCACTCTGGACGACAGTTTGGTGGATTTCCTAAGTAACTTGGGACGCAACTGCAGATTGCTTGGCCATTGTTCGTTCTACATTGACTGTTGGGTCCACATGGCGATGGACTGCATGGGTTAGATGGAAGTTCGGCTATGGAAACATCGTTATTTATCAAAATCTTAATCCAACTAGCTCATCTAGATAAATAATTCAATAAAAAGTTAGAATTAGGAAGTACCTATGGCAGGTCGACAGAATGCAAAGGCGTTTCCTTCGAAACCAACTGGACAACTGCACATTGGTACATGATTAACCACATTGCAGACTGCATTGCTTGCACATGTACCAATACATGGATCTTCACACTTGTTTCTTACACAAACTCTGTTTCGAGAACAGTCGTTATTCAGTACACACTCTGGTCGACAGCCAATGGTGGAATCTCCATAGTAATCAGGTAGACAAGAGCAGATTCCATTGTCACATTGAGCGTTAGGTCCACAGGGCGATGGATTGCATGGATCGATCTCTACTGGCTCAGCTGTTATCAAGGATTTCAATTGAATGAATAATTCCTAACTCCTGATGAATTTCTCGAAAAAACGATTACTCACGAGGCTTAATTTGTTGATTGCACTGACTGAAAGGATCTCCGGTGAATCCTTCGATACAAGAGCACACAGGAACGTGATTGAACACTGTGCACAGAGCGTTAAAGCCACAAGAGCCTGGACAGGGATCTTTACATCTCTCCCGAATGCAAGCTTGATTACTTGGACACTCAGAATTGATCGTACACTCTGGTCTACAGTTTGGAGGGCTACCGCGATAGTTTGGCGAACAAGAACAAGCTGGAGTTTGTCCCACGTTCTGGCAAATTGCATTGGGACCACATGGCGATGGTGAACACGGGTCTCTTTGTATCGTTGGTGTCGTTTCTAGGAGAGCTTTTGGAAGAATTGTCAATGAGTGTAACGAACGTGAATTCTGAACGAATTTTCCAAGATTTTTATCGTACCAGGAGCACGGAAGCAGGCAGTGAATGGATCACCGGTGTATCCATTGTTACAGAAGCAGATTGGACTGTGATTGATGATCCTGCAATTCGCGTTCGCTCCGCATGAATTTGGACAAGGGTCAACGCACTTCTGGTTCACGCAAGCACGAGTTAGTGGACAGTCTGTGCTGACCACACACTCTGGCCTGCAGTTTGGAGGACTGCCTATGTACGACGAGCGACAGGAGCAAATTGCTTGGTTGTTGTTCACGCGACATTCGCTGTTTGGTCCACAGGGCGAAGGATTGCAGGGATCTGCTAGCACATCTTCTTCTAAAAGATGATGGGAGAATGATAATTTCGTCAAGGAGGACAAAATTACGTTGAATAGTGTAAGCTCTTGGATAAATTCGAAGTTTCAGACTATTTTTAATACAAAAATTTTGGTAGATTTAAATTTCCTGTAAATTTCAAAGAATTTCCAACCCTTCGAATTATTCCTCAGAAATATACCACTCTAATCTTCTCTAAAAAATTGACTCTTACGATTCACTGGACTCAAACTGCAGTATCTAAACGGATCACCAGTGTATCCTTGCATGCAATTGCACACAGGCATGTGATTCACAGGGTTGCACATTGCATTCTGGCCACAAGCACCAGGACAAGGATCCTGACACTTCGATCTTACACAGGCTAGATTAGCTGAACAGTCAGAATTCACGACACACTCGGGTCTGCAGCCTTCGTAAGGATTTCCAAAGTAATCAGGTAGACAGGAGCACGCTCCTGCGTTTCCTGATTCCTTGCAAACCGCGTTTGCACCACAAGGTGTTGGGGTGCAAGGTGACACTCTGTCTTCCTCAACTAAAAAGGGGTGAAAAGGTATGGAATTTTGAATTTGTTTTTTTAGAAATACGAACAATTAATAGTCACACAAAGTTTGGAAGAGAAACTTACTTGGTACGGAGGTACACTGAACGAAAGGATCTCCAGTGAACCCAGTACGACAGGTGCAAATAGGAGTATGACTGAACACACTACACTCAGCTTCATTTCCACAAACACCAGGACAAGGATCATTACACTTCTGATTGATACAGGCCTGACGAATTGGACATTCGCTATTGCTAACACACTCTGGTCTACAATTCGGTGGAGATCCTGAGAATTCTGGCAAACAGGAGCACGATGGAGACTGATTCACAACCTGACACTGAGCATTCGCACCGCAAGGTGACGGATAACACGGATTGATCGGTTCTGGAGACACTTCGACTAGGGGATGAATTTAAAAAATGATTAAAAAATTCTAAAATTGTTACTGTCGTCTTTGAGTGTTCCTCTTTCATCGTTAGCTCACCTATAACGTTGCAAGAGGTGAAAGGATCACCACTGAGACCCTGAGGACATCTGCAAATGGGATTATGATTGACCACAGAGCACTCTGCTCTCAAACCACAGGTTCCTGGGCAAGGATCTCTGCATTTCTGGTTCACACAAGCTTTAGACAGTTCACAGTCTGAGCTAACGACACATTCTGGTCTACAAGTCGGTGGATTGCCCAGGAAACTTTCTATACACTTGCATACTGCGATTCCGTTCACTTCTTGGCAGTGACTGTTTGGTCCACATGGCGATGGGGAGCAAGGATTCTGTACTACGTCTTCTGATAAAATAATAGGATATTTAGAGCAACTTTTTTTAGAATTTAAGGTGGATTAGACGAATTTTTGGATGTTCTACCCTGAACTGGAGAACAGGAAACGAAAGCGTTTCCAGACATTCCAACAGGACAGCTGCACATAGGGATATGATTGATTGTCTGGCACTGTGCGTTCTGTCCACAGGTTCCTATGCAAGGATCCGTGCATTTGTTCCTCGAACAAGCTCTGTCGCGAGCACAGTCGTTGTTCATGACGCATTCAGGGCGACAACCACTGTATGGATCGCCTTGGAATTCTGGAAGGCACGTGCAAATGCCATCGCGACAGAGTGAGTTCGCACCACAGGGTGAAGGGTTGCAGGGATCTGATACTGGCTCTTCAGCTGTGTAAAAATTGGGATAGTTATTTCCAGTGAAAAAAATTAATTTAATCCTGAAGGAATATTTGTGAGTTCACAGTGATCCTAGAATTCTTTAGAAAATTAATTATTCGCATTCTGTGACCACTCTAGGCTTTTTAAATATTTCTATTCCCGAATAAAAAGAATTTTTCCTCAGAAAATTAATTTTTCCTCCCCCAAAATTAATTATTCGCATTCTGTGATAATTATAGACTTTCTAAACATTCTATTCCTCGCTAAAAAGAATTTTTCCTCAGAAAATTAATTTTTTTCTCCCCCAAAATTAATTATTCGCATTCTGTGACCACTCTAGAGTTCCTAAATATACTATTCCCCACTAAAAAGAATGTTTCCCCAAAAACAAAAATTCTCTTCGTATCCTGGAATCACTCTTCTCTCCTAAACTTCCAAATAAAAAAAATTCTCACATATCACGGGTCTCAGGATGCAGCTGGTGAAAGGATCTCCAGTGTATCCTTCGGGACAAGAGCAAATCGGGACGTGATTCAAAACGGAACACCGAGCTCCGATACCACAAGATCCTGGACAAGGATCAGAGCACTTCTCGCGAATGCAAGCAAGTGCACTCGAACATTCTGCATTTATGGTGCACTCTGGTCTACAGTTTGGTGGAACACCAATGTACGAGAGTGAACAAGAGCAAGATGGATTTCCTCCTATGTTTCTGCACTGAGAAAATGGACCACAAGGGGATGGCGCGCAAGGATCTTGTTGCGCTGGTCTTAACGAATCTACTGGACCTAAATGATTTTATAAAAATAATTAAAAAAAATAAAAATACAAGAAGAATAAAGAATAGGACGATAGAAATCTACTAAAAAATACGAACGTGGAGCAGGGAAACAAATAGAGAATGCATCTCCAGTGAAACCTTGCTGACAAGAGCAAATAGGACTATGATTGATAACTCTGCAGAGTGCATTTCTTCCACAGGGATCGGGACAAGGATCTGTGCACTTCTGATTAACACAGACTCGATCGGAAGGACATTCTGCGCTGATTGTGCACTCTGGCCTGCATCCTGGTGGAGAACCAAGAAATTCTGGCGAACAAGAGCACACCGCTTGTCCATTGTTCTCTCTACATATGCTGTTCGGTCCACAGGGCGATGGTTGACAGGGATTTCTCACACTTGGCAGTGTAGCTATCGAGCAAAAAATTGCTATAAAAATTAGGAACCTTAATTCACAAGATTTTGCAAATTCTCACGTACCTATTTCCTCTTCTCTACAAAATCTAAACGGATCTCCGGTGAATCTCGGCAAACAGTTACAAGTAGCCACGTGATTAATCACCTGGCAAATTGCGTTCTGACCACAGGTACCAGGACAAGGATCTTCACATTTGAATCGAACACAACTCTTGCTAGGAACACAGTCTGTGTTTATGACACATTCTGGTCTGCAACCCTCGTAAGGGTTTCCAATGTATCCTGGTAGACAGGAGCAAGCTCCTGCTCCGTTTCGTTCTTTGCACAGTGCATTTGCTCCACAAGGAGACGGTACACAGGGTTCAGGGACATACATTGGTATAACTAAAAAATGTACAAGTTAACTTCGATTCGATTCTGTAAAGTGAATACTCGAGATTACTCTGACAGAAAATGTTTAAAAAATTCTCACGTTGTTGCACGACACACTGAGTGAAAGGATCGCCAGTGTATCCTGGAGAACAGGTGCACATCGGCGTATGGGAAACTGTGTTACACATAGCATTGCTACCACAAGATCCTGGACAAGGATCTCTGCATTTCTGATTTATACAAGCCAGGTTATTTGGACATTCGCTGTTACTTATGCACTCTGGTCTACAATTTGGCGGGGAACCAGTGAATTCTGCTAAGCAAGAGCACGATGGAGAGTCATTTATCACTTGACACTGTGCGTTTGGTCCACAAGGGGATGGTTCACATGGGTTCTGTTGCGGAGGAGCTTCCAGTGCTAAAATAAAGTTCAATTCTAGTGTCTTTCATGATCGAACTTCTTCAGACTACTCTATCTTCCGAGGTTCTTACGTTTTTCTGTACACCTGACGAAAGGATCGCCAGTCGTACCACTGGAACAGCTACAAATCGGGTTGTGATTGACCACCTGGCAAGTTGCCCTGATTCCACAACTGCCAATGCAAGGATTGTTACATTTCTGATTGATGCAAGCTTCAGTGGGTCCACAATCTGTGCTCACGACACACTCTGGTCTGCAAGTGGGTGGAATTCCCACGAAACCAGAGATGCAAGAGCACACAGCCTGTTCGTTCACCTCTCTGCATTGACTGTTTGGCCCGCAAGGTGTTGGATTGCAAGGATTACTCACTACAGGGTCTGGTCAAAGGAAAGCAATAAGTTAAGCCTCTTAGAATCTTCTTAAAATTCTCGATTAACTTCCAATTAGTCTACCTCTGAATGGACTGCAAGATATGAATGCGTTTCCACTCATTCCAACAGGACAGCTGCACATAGGCACATGATTGTACACGTTGCAGACTGCACTCTGAGCACAGGTACCAACGCAAGGATCTACACATTTGTTGCGCAGACAAGCCTTGTTCGAAGGACAGTCTGTGTTCAGAACACACTCTGGTCGACATCCTACGTAAGGATCACCCTGATACTCCGACAAACACGTGCAAACACCGTTGCTGCACTGCGAGTTTGGACCACAGGGTGATGGATTGCATGGATCTTCAGGGACAACTTCAACAGCTACGATTGTACAATTAAACATCAGCTATCTAGCCTGTTCAAGAACAACTTTCGAAGCAATTTTAACTGATCAACTCTAAAGAGAAAGCTTACGTGGTGCAGGAGAGCAACTGCTGAAAGGATCACCAGTGAATCCCTCCATACAGGTGCAAACTGGTACGTGATTGAAAACTGTACACCTGGCGGACAAACCACAGGATCCAGGACATGGATCGGTGCATCTCTGTCTGATGCAGGATTTGTCGCTAGGACAGTCCGAGTTCACTGTACACTCTGGCCTACAGTTCGGTGGGCTGCCGAAGTAATTAGCTAAACAGGAACAAGACGGTGCGCCACCGATGTCTCGACACTCCGAGTAGGGACCGCAGGGGGATGGTAGACAGGGATTTTGAGGTAGATCAGGTAACGTTGATTGAGCTACAGTGATAAATAATTACGTCGAATAATTGTCTGCTATCTGGAAGATTTAGAAATTTGAGCGTTCTTCGTGGACTTACTTGGAAGAGGGAAACATCTGGTGAAGGGGTTACCAGTGTTTCCTTCTTTGCAGGTACAAATTGGACTGTGGTTCACGACTAGACAATTAGTGTTCTGTCCACAGGCACGTGGACAGGGGTTCACGCACTTCTGATTCACGCAGGCTCTATTCGAAGGACAATCTGAGCTTATGACACATTCGGGACGACAGGAGGGAGGACTTCCGGAGTATTCTGGTAGACAGGAGCAGACAGCGTTACCGGAAACCACGCGACATTGGCTGTTGGCTCCGCAGGGTGATGGAACACAAGGATCTGTCTGATCTTCGACTATGTCTGAGTTTCGAAAGACAGAAAACACCGTCTTTGTCAGTTTTTTGAACAAAGTGTCTTCTTTTCTTCGTGTTAAAAATATACTTTACCAGGTTCTCTCGCGAGCAGACAATATCTGAAGGGATCTCCGGTGAAACCAGGAATACAAGTACACGTTGGCGAGTGGTTAATGACCTGACAGACAGCGTCTTGTCCACAGGTTCCAGGACAAGGGTTCTGACACTTGTTTCTCATGCAAGCCAAGTTCGAAGGGCAGTCCGAGCTAACTGTGCACTCTGGTCGACATCCTTCGTAAGGATTGCCGATGTATTCAGGCAGACAAGCGCATGATCCCACCCCATTCTGCTCTTTGCAAATTGCGTTCGAACCACAGGGCGACGGTGTGCACGGTGAACTTGGTCTCGCTGAAGGATAAAATAAATGAATCTTCGGGAAAATTAAATCGAGTCTGATAGAGAGGACTCAATTTCTTACATTCTTCGAATCTAACACACTGTGTGAATGGATCACCGGTGTATCCACCGGAACAAACACACATGGGTGTGTGACTGACTACGCGACATTCTGCATTGGCTCCGCAAGAACCAGGACAAGGATCTCTGCACTTTTGGTTTATGCAAGCGTGGTGAGATAAGCATTCACTGTTGCTAACACACTCTGGTCTACAGTTGGGCGGAGAGCCAATAAATCCTGACATACAGGTGCATGATGGGGAATCGTTCGACACTTGGCATAACGCATTGGGACCACAGGGTGATGGTTTGCAGACGTTTATCACCTCTGGCTGGATCTCCGCTGGAAAAATTGTTCAAGGAATATGTCACCAAATTCTTCTGTTTAATTAACCCTTTCGGCGTGACAGTGAAGACAGTGGCCAAAAGAAATTACGTGAAAAAATTAGAAATTTTAACTGAACATTCAAATATTTTTATAGTCTAAATTTCCTTTATTCAAAAATATCTTTATTAATCTAATAGAAGTTTCAATTTTGAAAATTCTCCTGGTTGAATCTAGTCACCGTGTATATCTAACCTACCGAAAAGGTTAAACAGGGAGAAATAGTAAAATCTAGCATCAGAAGCTGTTCTAAAATTCTCTTACTGATAGGATCACATCTGACAAATGGGTCTCCGGACAATCCTGCTGTACAGCTGCATATAGGATTGTGATTGATGACCTGGCACTGTGCACGAATGCCACAGCTTCCCACGCAAGGGTTCACGCACTTTAGATTACTGCATGCCTCACTCCTGGGACAATCTGAGCTCACTGTACACTCTGGTCTACAGGATGGGGGACTTCCCATGTAGCCAGGCACGCAGGAGCAGACTGCCTGACCATTAATCGGTCGACACTGACTGTTTGGTCCGCATGGGGATGGATTGCACGGTGTTTCCGGGGTCACTTCTGGGTATCGTCGAGAGAATGAGCATCAGTGACGTTCACAGCGATGATAAATTGGTAGGATAATTTTATCGAATGATCTACGGTACCTTGAACCGGAGAACAAAGGACGAAAGCATTTCCATTCATGTCAGAAGGACAACTGCACATGGGAATATGGTTGAAGACGTTGCACAATGCGTTTTGTCCGCAAGTATTGACACAAGGATCTGTGCACTTGTTACGAACGCAAGCTTGACTCGTGGGACAATCTGTATTGAGGACACATTCTGGTCTGCATCCTACGTTAGGATCTCCTCTGTATTCAGCTATGCAAGAGCAGATTCCATTGTTGCACTCTGCGTTGGGTCCACAAGGTGATGGATTGCATGGATCGTCGGAAACTGTTGGTTCTAAAAATGTGTACCTTCGTGTAGCTAATGTAAAATTGTCTATTGGTTCATTGGATCCAGAAGATAGATGGCTTACGTGGTGGAGGTTTAGGATAACAGCTACTGAAAGGATCTCCAGTGTATCCTTCTATGCAACTGCAAATTGGTACGTGATTCATCACGGTACACTGAGCAAAAGTGCCACAGGAGCCAGGACAAGGATCTCTGCATTTCTCTCTCATGCAAGCTTGACTTGGAGAACACTCAGAGTTCACTGTGCACTCTGGTCGACAGTTCGGTGGACTTCCTATGTAGTTCGATTGACAGGAGCAGGATGGTATGCCATTCGCGTCGCGACACTCTGCGTTTGGTCCACAGGGCGAGGGTACGCAGGGATTAAACGGTACCATAGTTGTTGGAGGTTCTAGAAATGATTGTCCAGGTGTCAGAAAAGATCTGAAGGCTTGGTTTAACTTGGAAAATTTGGGGAAGTAGTCTCACCTGGCATTGGGAAGCAACGACTGAATGGATCACCGGTGTACCTTTGTCTACAGGCGCAAATAGGACTATGGTGAATAACGTTACACTCTGCACCGATACCACAAGGTCCAGGACAGGGATTCTTGCATTTCTGGTTGACACAGGCTAGATTCGTAGGACATTCTGAGCTGACTACACACTCTGGTCGACATCCTGGAGGAGTACCAGAGAATTCTGGCAGACAAGAGCAAACTGCTTGGTCATTAATGACCTGGCATCTACTGTTTGGTCCACAAGGTGTTGGGGAACATGGATCTCTCCTATCCTCAACTATTTCCAAGAAATTAAGGAACGTGAATTTTTGACAGGGTGTAAACTGATCTGAAATAACACTAAAGGAGAAAATGGTAAATCTATTTACCAGGTTGTATCATGATAGGCTGACAGAATTGGTAAGGCTGGCCAGTGTACCCGGAGAAACAGTTACAACTTGGCAAATGGTTCACAACCTGGCACTCAGCATTGGTACCACAGGCACCAGGACAAGGATCCTGGCACTTGGAACGAATGCACGCTCGAGTGGATGGACAGTCAGAATTTATGATACACTCTGGTCGACAGCCTTCGTAGGGATTGCCCATGTAGTCTGGCAAACAGGTACATGAACCAACTCCATTCTGCTCTTTGCAAACTGCATTCGAACCACAGGGTGATGGTGTGCATGGACTCGAAGAGATTGGTTGCATTTGAGCTAAAATAGGGAATCCAATAAATAATCTCGTTCAAAGCGAGGACGTTTTTCCTCTTTCCAAAATGTCCATAGCATATCTTACTCTGTCTCAAGATACACTGGGTGAAAGGATCACCCTCGTATCCAACGAAACACACACACATAGCCGTGTGACTGACAACACGACACTCTGCATTAGCTCCACAAGATCCAGGACAAGGATCCTTGCACTTGTTGCTCACGCAGGCTAAATTAGCGGCGCACTCGCTGTTGCTAATGCACTCGGGTCTACAACTAGGCGGTGTTCCAATGAACTGAGGCATGCAGGAGCAAGAAGGTGAGTCGTTGATCACCTGGCAAACCGCGTTCGGTCCGCAAGGTGAAGGTTGGCAGGGATTAATAGGCGTCGTTGGCTCCTCCACTGAAACGAAGACGAACAGCGTCCCGTTAAGCGAGTCGTTTAGCTGGCACGAGCCTCCAAGAGGTCAGCTGATAAATTAGTCTCACGTTTAGGCTCGCAACGGACGAATGGATCTCCGGTGAAGCCAGCTGAACAGCTACAAATGGGATTGTGATTGATCACTTGACACTGAGCCCTGACACCGCAGGTGCCTGCACACGGATTCATGCAACGTTGATTGCTGCAAGCTTGGTTCTTCGGGCAATCTGAGCTCACTGTACACTCTGGTCTGCAGGATGGTGGTGTTCCGATGAAGTTAGCCACGCAAGAGCACACTGCTTGCTCGTTTAATACGCGACAAACGCTGTTCGATCCGCATGGAGACGGATTACAAGGGTCTTCAGGGCCTAGAATTTGTTTTTAATCGAAGGTAGCAGTGAAGGATATCTTCTAGATGAATCTAACGACGAGTACTAGGTTGAATTGACACGTACCTCTGCTTGGACGACAAGAAACAAACGCGTTTCCAGTCATTCCAGGCAGACAACTGCACATGGGAATGTGATTGTACACGTTGCACTGAGCGTTCTCTCCGCAGGTTCCTGGGCACGGATCCACGCATTTGTTGCGAATGCAGGCTTGGGATAGAGGACAGTCGTTGTTCAGGACGCATTCTGGGCGACAACCGGTGTAGGGGTCTCCTTGGTAGTCTCGGAGGCAGGAACAGCTACCTTCTGTGCAAATTGCGTTTGGACCGCAGGGAGAGGGGTTGCAAGGGTCTGCTGGGATTACTGGCTCGACTGTCGCTGAATTAGGGGAGAAAATCTCGTCAGAAGGAAAATACAAACCTACTGTATCTACTAGACTTAGCTAGAAGAGACTGAAAATTTGATTAAACATCTTAGAAGGTTGCTTACGTCTGAGGTAACAATTAGTGAAGGGATCTCCTGTGAAACCTTCTGGACAAATACAAGATGGCGTGTGATTTATCACGTTACAGGTCGCTGATAATCCACAGGAACCCGGACAAGGGTCTCTACACTTCTCGTTTATGCAAGCCTGATTGCTAGGGCAGTCTGAGTTAATCGAACACTCAGGACGACAGTTCGGGGGGCTACCAATGTAGGATCTTAAGCAAGAACACGACGGTGCACCACCGATATCGCGACATTCCGCGTATGGTCCACATGGCGATGGTACACAGGGGTTCTGGACAACTGGACCAGGTGCAGGTTCTGAAAGAATCTTCTTGTGAGAAACTGAGTCACTTTTGGAGGCAGCTGTTGGATGTAGGTCGTCTTACTTGGCACAGGGAAGCATCTACTGAAAGGATCTCCCGTGAAACCCTGCTTGCAACTGCAAATAGGGCTGTGGTTCAGGGTCATGCAGTTGGTGTTGGAACCACAAGGCTGTGGACAAGGGTTCACACACTTGTTGTTCACGCAAGCTCTGTTCGATGGACACTCTGAGCTCATCACACACTCTGGTCGACATCCTGGGGGACTTCCGATGTATTCTGGGAGACACGTACAGACTGGCTGGTCGTTCACTACGCGACAGTGACTGTTTGGTCCACAAGGGGATGGATTGCAGGGCTGTCTTAGGACTGGCTCTAATTTCAGAAGAATTCAGGACAGGATCAATTAACGATGGAAGAATTTTGTGTATTCCGAACATAGAACAATTTTTGCTACGACTATTACCAGATAGCAAGATGGGATTGCAGTATCTGAAGGGATCACCAGTGAAACTGGGCATGCAAGTGCACGCTGGAGAATGATTGATCACTTGACAGACTGCGTTTTGCCCGCAGGTTCCTGGACAAGGGTCCTGACACTTGGAACGTATACAAGCCATGCTTGATACACAGTCAGAGTTCACTGTACACTCTGGACGACATCCTTCGTAGGGATTCCCGATATAATCCTGCAAACAGGTGCAAGAACCTGCTCCGTTCTGCTCCTTGCACACTGCGTTTGCTCCACAGGGCGATGGTGTACAGGGTGACACGTTCTCAACTATCGTTGCTATAATAATAGAGCTGTTATCAACTCTATCTCGGAGAAATAGTGTTTCTTAATGGTAGCAGTTGTCTTACGTTGTTGCATAATGCACTGTGTGAAAGGATCTCCGGTGTATCCGCTTATGCAGACACACATAGGCGTGTGACTGACCACGCGGCACTCTGTGTTGGATCCACAAGCACCAGGACAGGGATCTCGACATTTCTGGTTCATGCAAGCCAAATGAGAAGTACATTCGCTGTTACTGATACACTCTGGTCGACAATTAGGTGGTGTTCCGATGAATTCTGCCGAACAGGAGCAAGATGGTGCGTCGTTCACTACGCGACACTGTGCGTTTGGTCCACAAGGGGATGGTTGACAGGGATTCATAGGTACGAGTGCTGTTTCAACTGGGATAAGAACGATAATTGATAACCGAGCTTCGAGTAAAGATACTCTGCGAGTAATTGAAGTAATTCCTTACTTATGGGATCACATCTGGTGAAAGGATCTCCAGAATGCCTAGGAATGCAACTGCAAATGGGATTATGATTGACTACTTGACACTGGGTCCTCAGACCACAGGTACCCAAGCAAGGATCTATGCATTTCTGGTTGCTGCATGCCAGATTACGCGAACAGTCTGAACTGACCACGCACTCAGGCCGACAAGATGGCGGAGTTCCTAAATATCCTTCAACACAAGAGCACACTCCTTGCTCGTTCACCACGCGGCACTGGCTATTGGGACCACACGGAGAGGGCCTGCAAGGGTCTGCTGGTCCAACTGGTTCTAAAGAGAATCGCCAAATTGTACAATCCAAAACCTATACGCAAACTATAATTGAACAAGAAGATAGAATATACACCTCTTAGAATACTGCAAAATACGAAAGCGTTTCCAGACATTCCTGCAGGACAACTGCACATAGGAACATGATTGTAAACGTTGCAAATGGCGTTTTGACCGCAGGTACCGATACAAGGATCGACGCATTTGTTACGAGCACAAGCTCTGTTCTGAGAACAGTCGTCGTTGAGGACACATTCTGGTTTACAGAGTTCGTATGGGTTTCCACGGTACTCTGGGAGGCAATTGCAGACACCATTGTCGCATTCCGCGTTGGGACCACAGGGTGAAGGGTTGCAGAGGTCTTGCACAGGGAGATCTATCGCTGTAAAGTGATTAGAATGATCTAGCTAATCACCTGAGATCCTCTATCGAGCTTTTAAGCAATCGACAAATTAAAACTCTGAGGAAAAATTCTGAAAGAAAGGTCTTACGTTGAGATGGTACAGGTTGGCAACTAGTGAATGGATCTCCCGAGTAACCCTCAGGGCAAGAGCACGCGGGAGTATGATGGATCACGTTGCAGATGGCGCCGAATCCACACGAACCAGGACACGGATCTCTGCACTTTTCGTTCATGCAAGCTCTGTTGCTGGGACAGTCAGGATTTATGGTGCATTCTGGCCTACAATTTGGCGGACTGCCCATGTAGTTTTGTAAACAGGAGCAAGATGGAGAGCCTCCAATATCTCGGCACTCTGAGTTGGGACCGCAAGGTGATGGCATACAGGGATTTTCGATTGGGGTTGCCAGTGGTTCTGAAAAGAATTTCTCTCATGTTTTTCTCTTGGTTTTAGTGGTAGTCTTCTTCCTTAGTCTCGGTTAGGTATTAGACCTCTACTTGTGCGATTAATTTGGAGGAATTTTAATTGAGGAAGAGGGAAGTTTATTAATCAAGCAAAATTGATCCTCTAACATCCCAAAGTAGGATAACTACGAAATCTGAAACTGTTCTTTTCTTCAAGATGAACTTCTCAGTCTTCGTTTACAAAGAAAAGCCACAGTGTCCTTTTTCAAAGTTATGCTACTGATGGATTCTTTTGTTAATATCAAAATTGGTCCGTTGAACGATCCATCGTCCAAGATATCATCCGAAATCCTCTTACTTGGCGTCGGGAAGCATCTGGTGAACGGATCTCCGGTGAAGTCCAGCTTGCAGGCACAGATCGGACTATGGTTCACCACTCTACAGTCCGCGTTGGTACCGCAACGGCCTGCACAGGGCTCTGTACACCTCTGAGCAACGCAAGCTCTGTTCGAGGGGCATTCTGAGCTGACTACGCACTCTGGTCGACATCCAGGTGGACTGCCAACGTAATCGGGTAGGCAAGAACACACAGCCTGGCCATTGTTCACACGGCACAGGCTGTTTGGTCCACAGGGTGAGGGTCTACAAGGGTTTCCTTCTAGGACGGCTGTAAGTCGTGAAGAATTGATTCAAAACCAGCCCTTAGATCGCTATCCTTCAACCCACCGTTATTTTTCTAGATTAATAGGTTAATTGATGATCAACACCTGTTGGTGTATTACGATGATGTTATGAGGAAGCATCTTTAACGTTAGCTCTTCCGTTCTCTAGCCAAACGTTACAAATGATGTACAGTGATGACGATGATGAGTGACCAGTTCAGACTTACGAGTAGTCGTTGGTTGGAGGTAACAGTTCACGAAAGGATCTCCCGTGAAGCCAGCCAGGCAAGTGCAGCTAGGCAGGTGATTAATCACCGCACAGTCTGCGTTCTGGCCGCAAGTGCCTGGACAAGGGTTCTGACACTTGGACCTGATGCAGGCTAGATTCGAGGGACAGTCGGAATTCACGGTGCACTCGGGTCGACATCCTTCGTAGGGGTTTCCTATGTAATCCGGGGCGCAGGAGCAAGATCCAGCACCATTTTGCTCTTTGCAAATGGCGTTTGGACCGCAGGGCGATGGGGTGCACGGGGTCAGCGGTATCAGTTCGAACTCGGCTACAAAAATTGGTCCACAGGGACTGTTTAATACTTTTCGTCCTTGGTAAAGTGTTAAATCCCCAAGGTGTTAATGTCAAAACTACCAAATCGACTAAATTTACCGTAGGGTTAACAATTTTTTTAAGATTTAATCTAGTATTGTCCCCGAGGGTTAAAGAATTACTTGGTGCTTATGTCTGTGTCGTTGTAACGTGTTGTAAAATATTTGATCGTCGAAAATGCTGCTTGTTTGAAACTCTTAACACCTGTAGGGAACTTAGATCTTCTTCTTACGTCGTTTCTGGAAGCACTGAGTGAATGGATCACCGGTGTACCCACTGAGACAGGCGCACATCGGTGTATGGCTGACCACTCTGCATTCCGCGTTGGAACCACACGAGCCAGGACAGGGATCTCTGCATTTTCGATTGATACAGGCCAAACTACTCGAACACTCGCTGTTGCTCACGCACTCCGGCCGACAATTAGGCGGGGAACCGATGAAATCGGCCAGACAGGCACAGGATGGTTTGTCGTTGACGGTTTGGAACACTGAATTGGGACCACACTGGCAAGAAGCACATGTGTCTTCCGGTGGAGCACTTACAACTATGAAATTCAAAGGAAAAATAAGATACTCCAAGCTTTCAGACGACTCGTTCTTCGAGGAATAAAATGAAAAAAAGAGAGGTTCTTACTGATGAATTCACATCTAGTGAAAGGATCTCCCGTGAAATCAGAAGGACAGCTGCACACAGGATTGTGATTGACAACCTGGCACAGTGCCTTCAAGCCACAGGTGCCTGAACAAGGATCGATGCACTTCTGGTTGTTGCAAGCCTGATTCCTGGGACAATCTGAACTGACCACACACTCTGGTCTACACGTAGGTGGGCTACCAAGGTATCCTGGCACGCAGGAGCAAACTCCTTGGCCATTTATTGCTCTACACTGACTATCGGGTCCACAGGGTGATGGATTACATGGGTTCGCCTGAACTGGTTCTAAATTGAGGACAGTATAAATTTTGATCAAACTTGTTTGAGGAAAAGAAGCGCTGATTTTGAAGCTCCTTTCGTACCTTCTACTCTATCACAGGAAATAAAGGCATTGCCAGCCATTCTATCAGGACAGCTACACATAGGCACATGATTCAGGACATTGCAAATAGCGTTTCTTCCACAGGTTCCTGGGCAAGGATCTATGCACTTGTTTCGAACGCAAGCTCTGTTCTGAGGACAATCGTTGTTGAGTACACATTCTGGACGACAGCTAGTGTAAGGATCTCCTCGATAGTCTGCCAAACAAGTGCACACTCCAGCGTTGCATTGAGCGTTTGGTCCACAGGGTGATGGATTGCAAGGGTCTGATTCTGGAGGTGTTACTACAAAATTCATAGACAATGAGAAACTTGTCTACTCGATCTCTGGATAGATGAAGGAAGATCGAAGCCTTACATTGTGGTGGTGTTGGATAGCAATTACTGAAAGGATCACCGGTGTATCCTTCGACACAGGTGCACATAGGTACATGATTGATCACTGTACACTGAGTTCCAACTCCACAGGATCCTGGACAGGGATCTATGCACTTCTGTCGGATGCAAGCTCTGTTACTGGCGCAGTCAGAGTTGATTGTACACTCTGGTCTGCAATTTGGAGGACTTCCACTATACTCAGGTAGACACTGACACGATGGACCACCATTTACCACGCGACACTCGGAATTTGGACCACAAGGGGAGGGTAGACAGGGTTGCGAAGACTCTACTGCTGTTGGTGGTATGGCTTCTAGAAGAACAATAGCCGAATCAGGATTTCGTCCAACTTCGAACAATTGAAGTTGCTTCGAGGTTTCTTCGAGGTGTCTTACGTAGCATAGGGAAGCATCTGGTGAAAGGATCTCCGGTGTAAGACTGTCTGCAGGCACAAATTGGACTGTGATTCTTGACCACACAAGTGGCGAACGTGCCACAGGACGCAGGACATGGATTAACACACTTCTGGTTGACGCAAGAACGATCTGCAGGACATTCTGAGTTCAAGACACACTCTGGTCGACACATTGGTGGTGTGCCTGTGTATTCTGGCAGACAGGAGCAGACTCCTTGACCATTCACCACGCGACATTGGCTGTTTGCTCCACAAGGAGATGGATTGCACGGGTCCTTGTACTTAGTTTCGTCTTCTACGATATTTTAACTTCGTCAGTAACTTGTCTTCTTCGAGAAAGCTTCTTCCATTTAGAATCGAGTTTCTAAATAGAGGAAACCTTCGAGAAATTGAGAAATTCATACCTATTTGACGAATGAGAATACAGTATTGGAATGGATTTCCACTGTAGCCTTGAATACAAGAGCAAGCTGGTCGATGATTGATAACTTTACACTCTGCGTTCGTACCGCAGGTGCCTGGACAAGGATCTTGACATTTCGAACGAATGCAACTCAAGGTAGATGTACAGTCAGTGTCGACGACACATTCTGGACGACACCCTTCGTAAGGGTTGCCAATATAGTCAGGTAAACAGGAGCATGAACCAACGTTATTCTGCTCTTTGCAAATCGCGTTGAAGCCACATGGCGATGGAGTACAGGGAGAAAGATTGACAGGGACAGCTAGAAGATTTGATTGTAATTAGAGAAATTAGAGAACTGAAGGACCAAACTTCTTGGTATCGACTGTAATTGAAAGATTTAAGGTGTTCAAATGTTTCTCGATCCTTACGTGGTCTGGTAGTACACTGAGTGAAAGGATCACCGGTGAAATCACCAGGACAGACACACATAGGTGTGTGACTGACCACGCGACACTCTGCATTGGCTCCACAGGATCCTGGACAAGGATCCCTGCACTTCTGGTTCACACAAGCCATCTGACTAGGACATTCACTGTTACTAATACACTCTGGTCTGCAATTAGGAGGGGTGCCTATGAATTCTGGCGAGCAGAAGCAAGATGGTGAATCGTTCACGACTCTACATTGTGCATTGGGTCCACAGGGAGATGGTTCACATGGGTTCTGTGGTACTACAGGCTCTGGTGCTAAAAATACACCACCGATTATCTTCCTGGATCATTAGTAATTGTGTTAAGAAGTCCAATTTGGAAGGAACAGGTCTTACGTCTTGGAATACACTGAACAAACGGATCACCGGTGTGTTCAGGCAGACAGCTGCAAATAGGATTATGATTCACAACGTTACAGACAGCTCTGAATCCACAGGAACCAGGACAAGGGTTTATGCACTTCTGGTTGCTGCAAGCCTCTGTCAAAGGACAATCAGAGCTAACTGTGCACTCTGGTCTGCAGGCAGGTGGAGCACCTAAGAATCCTGCTACGCAGGAGCAGACTGGCTGTTCGTTTATCTCTCTACAGACACTGTTTGGTCCACAAGGTGACGGTGAACAGGGATTCCTCTTAATGGTATCTATGATAGTCGTAATTCCAAAAAAATTCAATACTACCTCTCCATCAAAATTTGTGTACCTATTTAAAAAGGGTCAGGTTGTACCTTGAAGGACATTGCACTGGACAAACGCATTTCCAACCATTCCACTAGGGCAACTGCACATGGGGACATGGTTCATGACGTTGCAGAGTGCATTTCTGCCACAGGTACCGGGACAAGGATCAGCACACTTGTTCCTCATGCAAGCTCTATTCTGTGGGCAATCCGTGTTCAAGACACACTCTGGTCGACAGCCCAGATATGGATCGCCCTGGTACTCGGGTAGACAGGAACAAATTCCATTGTCGCATCGTGCGTTCGGACCGCAAGGTGAAGATGCACAGGGATCAGTGACAGTTGGTTCAGCTGTGAAAGGAATAATCGTGTCTCTGATACTTTCCAAGCTCTTCCGCTCTCGATTTCGATCTCTCGAGGTTCCTTACTTGGTCTCGCGGCAGGGTAACAGTTGCTGAATGGGTCACCGGTGTATCCTTCGGGGCAAGTGCACACTGGAACGTGATTGTAAACCGTGCACAGGGACGTAACGCCGCAGGATCCTTGACAAGGATCTCTGCACTTCTCGTTGGCGCACACTAGGTTCCTGGGACAGTCTGAGTTCACGCGACACTCTGGTCTGCAGGTCGGAGGGGATCCTATGTATCTCGGTAGACAGGAACAGGAAGCTGTGCCTCCGATGTTCCTGCACTCCGCGTACATTCCACATGGAGACGGTACGCACGGGTCTTTTGGGACTAGAGAGCAGTCGTTCTGGGGCGATTCTAGAATTTATTCGGAAGTGTTATGCTTGGTGATGTTTCAAACGGATGGTATGAATTCGTGAGGGTGAATTGAAGTCGGGAAGTTCGATGACACTTAGAATAGCTAGATGGAACTCCTTAGGGTGTGGTTTGAAGCAATTTGAACGTGTGAGAAGTGAGGAAATTTGATGAACTTTCAAGGTCACTTTAAGATCGCAAAAATTAGCTCTCGTGGAACCAAAAAATGCAGGAAACTTTGAAATCACGAAAAGAATGACCTTGGGAGAGATGTTCTCGAAACTCGAAGTGATTCTTGAGATCATGAGAGTTCAACACAGTTGAACTGGATCTATCGATGATATGAGATTAGGAAGATGGCGAATGATCGATGATCAAGCGAATATCACCAGAAACATTCTTACGTGGAGCAGGGAAGCACTTGGTAAATGGGTCACCGGTGTATCCGTTATTGCAGATGCAAATAGGGCTGTGGTTGATCACCTTGCACTGTGTGTTGATACCACACGAGTTCACACACGGTGTGGTACACTTCTGGTTAATACAAGCGAGTTCCCTCGAGCACTCGCTGTTCACCACACACTCTGGTCGACAGTTTGGCGGGGTTCCGATGAAGTTCGCCAAGCAGGTGCACACAGCATGATCATTGATGCTTCTACATTGACTGTTCGGTCCACACGGGGAGGGACTACACGGGTCTGACTCTATGGGTATAGCTGTATGGGGGAAAATCGTATTAATCAGGCTAAGTTAATGAAAGAATTGGTGCTCGTTCAACTACGTGTGCAAACGATTCTATCGATCCTTCTAATCAGGCTCTTCAGGTGTGTAAAGCATGGTAGAAAAATGGAGGCTTACGGGTGAAAGTGACCAGGGAACAGTATGTGAACGGATTGCCAGTGTAGCCAGTGTTACAAGAACAGACTGGTACGTGATTGATCGTTTCACAACGGGCTTGCATTCCACAGGTTCCTGGACAAGGGTCTCTGCATTTCAAACCCACACATGCCATCGTCTTGGAGCAATCGGAATTTTGTGTACATTCCGGTCTGCATCCTTCGTACGGGTCACCTATGTAGTCTGGCAGACAGGAACAGGAACCGACTCCGTTACTCTCGCGACAGAGCGCATTGGTACCGCACGGGGAAGGCTCGCATGGTTGTCTAACGTCTACGGGTGTATCTGCTCGGGGAAGAGAATCATTTTCACACTTTTTCCTTACGCTTAATGAATCAAGCAGCTCGATGATCGTGTCAAAGCTTGTGCGTGAAATATTGGCGTGATAAAATTGGCTTCACGACTTCGTTCACGAACGGATGAAGGAGAAGCGGAAGCAAGCAATGAACGCTTGCGTAAGAAATGATTCGTCGGCAGCAATATTCGATCGTTGATTGTATGATTGTTTCGCTGTAGCATTTTGGGTGTTAAGGTGTTCGTGAGGTGAGTGTTTCAGGTTTGGCAATTCTCTGTAAAATAATCATTAGAGTTTAATATTTCGTCGAGGGATTAATTCTTTTTATCTTGGATAACGTTTTAATAAGCGTGTCTTCAAGGATCAATTTGAGCATTCGTGGTTTAATCATCGTTAGGGAATTAATCTTCGATTAGGGTATACGTTTAACAAGCGTGTCTTCGGGGTCTTTCAGGGGTTAATTCTTCCGTGTCCAGGGTAACGAGGGGTGTTTCATTCATGGGACCAAGGGTTCGAAACCATTTTCAGGACACTAAATTCAGGGTGCTCTTCTAGGTAACATTCTAAGCAATTTGCTCGGGGATCAGGGATTTCAATGCGTGCAATACTCTTCCTATTCATGGGTGTTTCGGGTTATCGGGTGTAATTCAAGGGTGAGTGCAATTAGAGCCTATTACTCCATAGGCCCCGCCACCATTCGTTCTCCTAAACGTTACTTCGTTATGTTATTTCATTCTCGGTTACTGCCTCGATAATTGCATTTCAAAGGCGTGCTTCACTTAATGATCTTGTTAATCGCAGGGGTAATTGTCGATTTTCGGATATAACGATGAGTGCAGATGCGATGATTCGCAAGGCCTCGCGTATATGTTAGGGCCTTTTCGTTTCATGATTCATCGATGAGACAACGAATGTTTCGTTAGTAAACGCGATGAAAATGTTACGAAAGTGGTGAACAAAGCACTTACCTGCAGCTCGCCTGCATGCAAAAGGCGAAATTCGCGATGAAGAGAGAAAAAGAGTAATAAAAGTGAATTTTTCATTGTTTCTCATTGACTCACCCTTGGCGATCGGCTCACAGACGCTGAAAGGATTTCCGGTGAAACCTTCGGCACAAGCACACACGGCGTGATGATTCACCACTGAACACTGACCATTTAGACCGCACAAACCGACACAAGGATCGCGACACTTTTGTTGCATACACGCTAAATGAGGAGGACACTCAGGATTGATCGTACACTCCGGTCTGCAATTTGGCGGAACACCGATGTAATTCTCGATGCACGAACAAGCTGGACTGTCGCCACGCACTTGACACTCTGCGTTCGGTCCACAGGGAGACGGTTGGCACGGGTTCGTTGGCACTGGTGGTTGCTCTGTAATTAAAAGAATTCGTGAAATTATTACAATTTTCACGATTAATATTAATTATCGATGAAACACTGAATAATTAAGTAGAGTAGTTAGATACGAAATTAGGGCGTTATTAAATTGTTTTAAGACACTTACTGGGCATGGGGAAACACCTGGTAAAAGGATCGCCGGTGTGACCATCATAACAGCTGCATATAGGATTGTGATTGACCACTTGACACTTGGAATTCTGACCACAAGTGCCTGGACAAGGATCCTGACACTTGTTATTAAGACACGCCTGAGTTAGAGGACACTCTGCACTCACTACACACTCTGGTCTGCAAGCTGGAGGACTACCAATGAATCCTGCTTGGCAAGAACAGACTGCATGATCGTTAACCACTTTGCAGAGGCTGTTTGCTCCACATGGAGATGGTGTACATGGTTGTTTCCTTGGCTCTGTAAAAATTGAAGTACATTAAGAATTTAATCAATAAATCAAAGTAGTTTAAAAAATGTAAAAGATACTCTACCTTCGATCACATGTGGTCTGCAGAGTGTAAATGGATCTCCAGTGGTACCAGCAGGACAACTGCACATGGGAATATGATTAACCACGTCACACCTTGCACTCGTTCCACAAGTGCCCACGCAAGGATCCACGCAGTATTGATTCACGCAAGCCTTCACTCGAGAACAGTCTGAGTTCATGGTGCACTCTGGACGACAGTACGAATAAGGATCGCCAAGGTAGTTCGGTAGACAAGAGCAAATTCCTTCGTTACACTCTGCGTTCGGTCCACAAGGTGATGGATTGCATAGATCTTCGGGTGTCTTTGGTTGTTCTGGAGAATAAACGATTTAAACAATTACTTCAACCTCCTGATGAATTTATGAGAATAAAGAATGAAACCAAATGAGTACCCATTATCTGTGAGCACAGTGTGAAAGGATCACCAGTGTAGCCTGCTTGACACAAGCAAACAGGAATGTGATTCTGCACCCTGCAGTCAGCATTCTGTCCGCAGGATCCAACACAAGGATCTCTGCATTTCTCTGAGATGCAGGCTTGATTGGATGCACAGTCTGTGTTCACAACACACTCCGGACGACAGTTTGGTGGAAGTCCTATGTAGTTCTTCAAACATGAGCAAGCAGCTTGATCGCCGATTGCTCTGCACTCTGCATACAGGCCACATGGACTTGGGCTGCAAGGATCTCCCACTGGTGGCAATGGTGTGACTGAAGAAACATCAGAATTATTCTCTGATCTGTCTATTCGATCTCAGAAAATAATTATTGAAAATTTTCGACTCACTTGTCTGAGGATAGCACCTGGAGAAAGGATCTCCAGTGGTACCCTGAGGACAGCTGCACAGTGGATTATGATTGATCACTCTGCAATTGCCTCCCACTCCGCAAGTTCCAGGACAAGGATCGGTGCATTTGTATTTGTAACAGGCTCTGTTCTGAGGACACTCCGAGTTCACGACACACTCAGGCTTGCAGTTAGGTGGTGAACCAACGAAAGACTCCTGACAGGTGCACACAGCTTGCTCCTTCACTGCTCTGCACAGACTGTTAGGTCCACATGGAGATGGACTGCAAGGATCGATCACGCTAGGCTCTGTCTCTGAACTGATTGGCATAGTGCAAATACTGAAAGGATCTCCAACGTATCCAGGTTGACAAGTACAAGTAGGAATATGATTGATCACAGAGCACTGAGCCTGAATGCCACATATTCCTGGACAAGGATCTTCGCACTTGTTGCGAACGCATGCTTTGTTCGTTGGACAGTCTGAGCTGAGAATGCACTCTGGTTGACAGCCTTCGTAAGGATTTCCGTGGTAATCGTCGATGCAAATGCAAGCACCGACGTTGTCACGTTGTTGACAGATGGCGTTTGGACCACATGGTGAAGGTTCACATGGATTGATGGCTTCTTCTGCAATTTAAAGTAGGATCGTTTAGTTAAAGGATTGATTAATGAGTGTAATATGAACGTACCTTCTAAGACGATGCACTGGACGAATGGATTTCCTGTGTATCCCGACGTACAAGAGCAAGTGACTGCATGATTGACAACGAGACACTTGGCGTTCTCTGCACAAGAGCCTGGACAAGGATCCGTGCACTTTGAATTTACGCAGGCCTTGTCTGATGGACAGTCAGGGTTGATCAGACACTCTGGACGACAGGATGGTGGAGTTCCGATGTAAGAAGGTAGACAAGAGCAAGATGGATAGCCATTGGCGTTCTGGCACTGAGCGTTTGGTCCACAAGGTGAAGGGATGCAGGGATCTCCTGTATCTTTGACATCTGGTGGAACTGTAAAAGTAATTTACCATTGATTATCTGACAAAAATGACAGAGCTGAGAATTTTAATAGAGTTTCTTACCTGAGATGTCGTAGCAGCTCTTGAAAGGATCTCCAGTCTGTCCAGGAAGGCAGCTGCAAATTGGCGAGTGATTGATCACCTCACATCTAGCATTCAAGCCACAAGAGCCTAAACAAGGATCTGTGCATTTCTTGTTCACGCAAGCACGAGTTGGAGGACACTCTGAGCTGACAACACACTCTGGTCTGCAGGATGGTGGAGAACCAAGGTATCCTTGAAGACAAGAACACACTGCGTGGTCTTCGATGTTACGACACTGGCTGTTTGGTCCACAGGGTGATACAGGGGAGCATGGATCTCTTGAAGATTGAGGAACTGAAACGCAATTTGCAATTTATAAATAATTACATACAAAATTACTTAAAGATTCTAGTCTCTGAGGGTACTTACTTTGTGGTTGAATACGACAGCTGACGAATGGATCTCCCACATAACCAGGCAGACAAGAGCAAACAGGAATGTGATTCACGACATCGCACACCGCATTTTGTCCACAAGTTCCAGGACAAGGATCCTTGCACTTGTTCCTCAAGCAAGTCTTGTCACGAGCACATTCTGAGTTGAGGATGCACTCTGGTCGACAAGCTTCGTAAGGATTGCCAAGGTATTCAGGTAGACACTCGCAGTCACCGTTTCTGCAAATTGCGTTCGGTCCACAAAGCGATGGACTGCATGGATCGCTCACAGGTGGCAAAGTAGCTGGAAGAAAATTTATTTTTCATTGATAAAAAGGATCTAAAATTGTAGAACAATTATTTGAAGTAAAAACGAAGTGTTCTCTTACTCGGAGGAATCACTATGCACTGAGTGAAAGGATCTCCGGTGAATCCTTCCATACAGGTGCAAACAGGTATGTGATTCAGCACGTGACACTGAGCATTGACTCCACAGGAGCCTGGACAAGGATCCTGACACTTCTGATTCACGCATGCTAGATGACTCTTGCACTCTGAACTCAGAATACACTCTGGTCTGCATTCTGGAGGAACACCGATATAATTTGGAAGGCAGGAGCAAGCTGGGTTTCCAGAAATGATCTGACAGAGAGAATTAGGGCCACAGGGCGATGGTGTGCATGATGGTGGTCGTTCAGTGGTCGAAGGAACATCGAGAACTGTCAAATAAATACGTTATTAAATATTTAAATCTTTCGAATAACCTTGTACTTAGCATAAATGAAATTATTCTTACCAAGAAGAGAGCACTGAGTGAAAGGATCGCCGGTGAATCCAACAGGACAGGTACAAATAGGATTATGATTCTTGGTAGTACACTGAGCCCTCAATCCACAAGTGTTAGGACAAGGATCAGCACATTTCTTATTCAGACAGGCCAAATGAGCTGGACACTCGGCGTTCACCACACACTCTGGTCTACAACTTGGTGGAATTCCTCTGTATTCTGGAAGACAGGTGCAAACTGCCTGACCATTCACTTCGCGACACTTGCTGTTTGGTCCACAAGGCGACGGTGAGCATGGATCCAACGGAGGCACTCCTGAAAATAAATTCGAAGAAATGAACATTCATCCTAAATTCGTTAAATAATTATATTTAATAAACGACAGGAGACTCACTCGTCATTTCTCTGATCTCGCAAGCGAAGTATGGATCTCCGGTGTATCCAGGTGGACAGGTGCACACAGGAACGTGCTGGTGAACCTTGCAGATGGATAACGTACCACAAGTACTTGGACAAGGATCTGAACACTTGAATCCAACGCAAGCCAGTTGTGGAGCACAGTCGTTGTTCGATTCACACTCTCTGTGACATCCTTTCTCATTGTCGTAAGGATCGCCAATGAGGTCTGGTGGACATGCACAAGCTCCGGCGCCATTTCTCTCGCGACACTGAGCGTTTGGACCGCATGGATTTGGCGAACATGGATTCGTCACGCTTATATCCGTTGCTAGACAAAGAATAATTGAAAAAAATTAAATATGTCTTACCTGTGTAATCATGAAGAATTAATTTATGATGATGTTAAAATGGAGACTCACTTGGAGGTGGAGCCAAGACACATCGAACGCTAGCATCGCCCTCGTACCCCTCAGGACAGGTGCAAATAGGCACGTGATTCTGAACAGAGCACCTGGCCATCTCACCACAGGCTCCAGGACAAGGATTCTTGCATCTCTGATTCACACAGGCCGCAGAATGGAAACAGTCTGAGCTATCAACGCACTCTGGTCTACAATTTGGCGGACGTCCGATGAAGTTCAACAGACAGGAACAAGCAGGCTGAGAACCGATCACTCTGCACTGAGAGTTGGGTCCACAAGGATTGGGAGAGCAAGGGTTTCCAACGTCCTTGAATGGCGGTTGCGATATGTTGAACCTTGTACACTGAAGCAATGGATTACCAGTGTAACCAGAGGTACAAGTGCAGATGGGATTGTGGTTCACAGTTAGACATTTCGTGTTCAGTCCACAAGAGCCTGGGCAAGGGTCAGCGCATTTGTTGTCGATGCAAGCCTTGGTCTGAGGACATTCAGAGCTGACTATGCACTCTGGACGACAGGTTGGAGGCACTCCAACGAATCCTGGTTGACAGAGACACACAGCGTGTCCATTGTGCACTCTGCAATTGCTGTTTGGTCCACAAGGTGATGGTTCGCAAGGATTCACTGGTAACGGTTCTGGTGTTACTTCAATTCCCGTGCAAGCGTTGAAGGGATCCCCTGTGAATCCTGGGAGACAGGAGCAGGATGGAGCATGGTTGATTACTCGACAGGTTGCTCCTTGACCACAGGTACCGGGGCAAGGATTCACGCATTTGTTGTTCAGACAGGCCTTGCTGCGATCGCAATCGGTGTTCGTGACGCATTCTGGGCGACAACCTGTATATGGATCGCCGATGTATTCTGGGAGGCAGGTGCAGGATCCAACGCCATTGCGCTCGTTGCAGATCGCGTTCGCTCCGCAGGGTGATGGATTGCATGGTGTTCGAGGTTGCTCGGTTGTAGTGGGCTCTAAAAATTTGAAAATTGGAATATTTGAAAATTTGAAATTTGCATATTTAAAAATTTGGAATTTGGAAATTCGAAATTTCTACAATACCTTCCAATATAGGCGAACATTCTGTGAACGGATCCCCAGTGAACCCAGTATTACAGATACAAACTGGATTATGCTTCACCACATTGCAATAAGTATTCACTCCACAAGATCCCGGACAAGGATCCACGCACTGTTCGTTCTGGCAAGCGAGATTTCCAGGACACCCATCGTTAATAACACACTCTGGGCGACAATTAGGTGCTCTGCCCACGTAATTCGGTAGACAAGAGCAAGCAGGGAAACCGTCTATCATACGACACTGAGAATTCGGTCCGCAAGGTGATGGAATACATGGATTTCCACTTGGTTCTGGTCCAGGCTGTTTTCCCTCTGCTTTAAAACATATTCCAAGTTTCAACACACTCTCCAAAAACTACAACATCAAGACTAAATACTTGAATCTCAAATCTTACGTTCTAAGACGCATCCGAAGAATGGATCACCAGTGTATCCAGACGTACAAGTGCACACTGGATTATGATTGATAACCTGACAATTAGCATTCAGTCCACAAGTTCCTGGACATGGATCTCTACACCTCTGATCTATACAAGCTGTGTTCTGAGTGCAGTCTGTGCTAACCACACACTCAGGACGACACTGTGGAGGACTACCAACGTAGTCTGGTTGACAAGAACAGACTGCATGGTTATCGATCACACGACAATTACTGTATGGACCACAGGGCGATGGTTGACAAGGATCACCTGGCAGTGGTGTTACTGAAACGAGATAAAATAAAATTTATAAAGAACAAACCAAAAGAAGAAATATTAATTCTTAATTTTCATAAATTTCTCCTAAATTTACCAGGCGATATGTGGCAAGATCTCAGTGGATCTCCAGTGTAACCAGAAAGACAGTTACAAGAGGGTTGATGATTGATCACTTGGCACTGAGCATTTATACCACAAACACCCACGCAAGGATCCTTGCATTTATTGTTTATGCAAGCCTTCGTGTGAACACAGTCGGAATTTTGAACACATTCTGGTCTACATCCTTCGTAAGGATCTCCCGTGTAGTCAGGAAGACAGGTACAAGAACCTGCGCCATTTCTTTCTTTGCAGATCGCGTTTGCACCGCATGGCGATGGATCGCAGGGCAGTGATGCTGGGAAAGAAACTGCAAAAAGAACGAGAAATAACAAAAATTCCTACACCCTGCAATTTTTCTATTCGATCGTCAAATTGATCTATACCTTTGCTACATCCAGAGAAAGGATCTCCTTCGTAGCCCTGGTAGCACTGACACATTGGTCGATGATTCTGCACGGTGCAATTAGTATTCAACCCGCAGGATCCGGCACATGGATCGACACACTTCTTCTGAACACAAGCTAGGTAATTTTGACAGTCTTGATGGATGAGACACTCTGGTCTGCAATTCGGTGGCGCTCCAAACATTCCGCTGATACAGGTGCAGACAGGATGATCCTTTTGCACGCGACAGTCTGCGTTTGGACCGCAAGGAGACGGCAGACAAGGATTCTTTGGTCCTGGCAGTGGTATATCTAACAATAGAGAATGTATAATTACACATGAACACGATGTAAACTTAATTCTTCTTCTACGAAGTCGAAGTACTACCTTCTTTAACGCATTGTGTGAAAGGATCACCGAGATAATCCGGAGGACAACTGCAGATAGGATTGTGATTGACGACCTGGCATAAAGCATTTTGTCCACAGAGACCGGGACAAGGATCTCCACACTTTTGACCGATACAAGCCAAGTGTGCAGGACATTCTGAGCTGACGAGACACTCTGGCCGACAAGATGGCGGTGTTCCGTGGTATCCTGGGCTGCAAGAGCAGACTGCACGTTCGTTCATCACGCGACAGATGCTGTGTGGGCCGCAGGGAGACGGCATGCAAGGATTCTGAGGTGGAAGAGCTGAAAGAAGTTAATGAGAATAATTTGTAATAATAGTAAAATTTGTTGTAATCCAGTTTTTATTAAGACTTACGAGATTTCTCGATTTTGCAAGATCCAAACGGATCTCCGGTGTACCCAGGCAGGCAAGAGCAGACAGGAACATGTTCTACCACTTCACACCTCGCGTTTGCACCGCAGACACCTGGACAAGGATCTCTGCAGTGCTGATTGAAGCATGCTAAGTTACTCTCGCAATCCTGGTTCACTATGCACTCTGCTTCGCAACCATCCATGTACGGATTTCCAATAAACGGTGGAACACATTTGCATCTCGCTATGCCATCGTCTGCGACACAGATTGCGTTCTTTCCACAGGGTATAAGTAGACAAGGATCGTAGACATTAGGTGGTGGAGCTGCAAATCGTGAAATAAAATGTTAATCTTCTTGGTCGCTTTATTTCTTTTTTAATTCTTCAATTTTTTACTATCTCTCACCTGCACAACTCTGATAAGGATTTCCCACAGTGTGCTCAGGACAGTAGCAAGGAGGCACTCTCTCCGAGTCGCAAGTAGCTCCCAGTCCACAAGGATTAGGGCTACACTGGTCAGACTTAGGTACACATCCTCTAATCGTGTTTGGACTCTCGATGTAACCTGGTAAGCAAGTACACTTCGAAAGACCATTGCTTAGAACAGAGCACTGTGTGTTCGGTCCACATGGCGATGGCTCGCAAGAGTTGCTGGGAAGCGAGCAAAGAGAGTGTGGAGGATTTCCTTCGTATCCAGGCAGACAGAAGCAAGTCACTTGTCCTGACACCACTCGACAACCGGAATTGCTACCGCAAGGATTGCCTTGGCATAGATCTCCCTCTAGTACTGAACACGAATTTTTAGTTTAAAAAACGAATGATTTCTCTAAAAATGAGGACGTGTTCAGAGAAAGATTCGCAATTGCAATACTTACTGCACTGTTCGAACGGATTGCCAGTCAATCCTTTCGGACAGAAGCATATCGGATTGCCGTTATCGTTCTCGCACATCGCGTCCAATCCGCAAGGATTTGGAACGCATGGATCCGTGGTTCCCTGAGTGCAGCCAATCTGAGGATTCCCTTGGAATCCAGGAAGACACTTGCACTGTGCTTGATGGTGCTCTGGATAACAATTCGCGTTGGCACCGCAGTCTGCCTCCAGGCAAGGATCGATGCAATTTCTGTTCAGACGGTCGCAGTATTTAGACGGCGGACAATCCTCGTTGTACTGACACACGTTCTTCCCCTCGTCATCTGTAACGAACGTCGCAAAAATTTAGGTTACCAAGAAATTCTTCATTCAGTTCAATTAAATAGCTACCTAGTGCACAGTAGGAGAAACCGTTTCCATGATAACCGTCCTCGCAGCTACAATCCGCTCCGTGGTTGGTGTTAACGCAGATCGCGTTTTTCGCGCAAGGATTCCAAACCAGACAGGGTTCCTGACAAGTGCCCTCAATGCACGCCTCTGTCAGCGGGCAATCTTTGTGGCTAGTGCAACCCGCTAGAGAAAGATCGAGAAAAAAGCCCGTATAGCCCCGAGAAAGAGTGCACGAGTACAAAAATAAAGGGGTGGTAGGCTCGTGTACTGCTTAGGCGAGTTAGATAATACAGTGTATTTGTCTGCGTACAAGTGTATTGTGAGTGCACGAATTGAATGATCGTGTCTCTGGACGATTTTTATCGGTGTTGAAAATTGAAAGTTGGAGAAGAGAGTATCGACAGTTTGCGAATCGAGGAAATTTCGTGTGAAAATTGCGCTGTTGTGACACGCGCAGCATTACGTATGTACAGTACATATACATATTTACAGAACGAGTTGTACGCTGTAAAAAATTGTGAAGTGAAGAGTGGAAGAAGATCGAAGAGTGAGATTCTCGTTTTTGTACAAACCTTTCACGCAAGTATACGTCGCTGGATCACACTCCATGCCAGGTGGACAGTACGGACAGTTTGTGTCGTTCGCTACGTCTGAAGAGATCGGAGATGTGTATTAATTTATTTCGTGGATTTTTCAAATAAAATTTATATAAAATTGTCTTCAAGATTCTACCTTTCACGCAAACTGGTCTGTGATCTTGAACATGGCAAACTTCCACGAAGTCACACGGATTATGGACAGTGCACGGGTTCAGACATTGTTGGTTTATGCAGGCCAGTTGGGAGAGACAGTCGTCGTGCGTTTTGCATTTGGTATCTGACGGAACGAACGTATATTAGAAGCTCAAAATAACTTATCTACGAGTTGTTCTAACGTTGAAAAATTTTGAAATTCGTCGTACAAAAAGAAAAATCATTTTCCAAACGAGTACTCTAATGAACATGATCTTTACTCGATAACTTCTCTAAACGAAAATTCTCAAGGTACACGTAATGTATAATAATATAACAGTGATATACAACATACATATCTAAACAACAACAAAAAAACACTAATAAAACAAATGCACAATAATAAACACAGAAAATGATACGTACAATCCCCTAATTTCTAAGACATATATATATAATGGTTTTCGTGTTACATGTGTAAAGCCCAGAAACAGTCGTTAGTTTCGCCACCCTTAAAGGAAACATTTAACGCAACAACGACTACTTTCGATACTACACAAGAAATAAAAAAAAATAAATATCAAGCTAGAAGGGTTCCTTTAAAAGTAGTATCCACATAGAAATTACAATTAACTACTACGTATAATATAGATAAGCGAGAAGAGAACGTGCAGAAGCGCAACAACGATAATGTACAGCATGCAAAAGGAGCACTAATGCAGCAGGTCCATGTCTGCACTGGATTGCAGCAATGTACTGTAACTATATCTAAATTCATTTATTTGAATATTTTTTTCTTAATATTTTTTTTTTTTTCATCGTGATGTTCCTCGGGTAATTTATTCGACACCAACGTAACAGTGATCATCAGATGGGATATGATCTGTCGATCACCAGATAACAGTACTCTCCAGAATTGGTTGCCTCCAATTTTGTATCTGGATACTGGATGATTGTCACACTGGAGTACATTTACCCAGACACACAAAATTGGTGAACACGAGGAGGACAACACATTTACAAAACTCCCGATAAGAGAGATCTATTACCTGAGAGTATGCTACAATTAGGCGTACTCTGGTTCACCGTTAGGTTGAAGCACACGGGCCGACATGTACCATTTATACAGACTTTACATTCGGATGCGGCTGTTGTTTCAATGCAAGGTGTGTATCCTGTGGTATATATGAGAGTTGTTTGAGTGGGTTGGAATTCGGTGGTTGCTTGTTCCGTGGAGTATGGTTCGGTTGTTTCATGTTGTTCTGTTATATATTCTGTTGTTGTTGAAGGTTGCTCGGTTGAATATTGTGTGGTTGTTGGAGGTTGTTCTGTTGAATACTGTATGGTTGTTGAAGGTTGTTCTGTTGAATACTGTATGGTTGTTGAAGGTTTCTCTATTAAATATTGTGTGGTTGTTGAAGGTTGTTCTGTTGAAAATTGAATGGTTGTTGAAGGTTGTTCTGTTGAATACTCTATGGTTGTTACAGGTTGTTCTGTTAAATATTGTATGGTTGTTGAGGGTTTCTCTGTTAAATATTGTGTGGTTGTTGAAGGTTGTTCTGTTGAAAATTGAATGGTTGTTGAAGGTTGTTCTGTTGAATACTCTATGGTTGTAGCAGGTTGTTCTGTTAAGTATTGTGTGGTTATTGAAGGTTTCTCTGTTAAATACTGTGTGGTTGTTGAAAGTTGTTCTGTTAAATGTTCCGTTGTTGTTAAAGGTTTCTCTGTTAAATATTGTGTGGTTGTTGAAGGTTTCTCTGTGAAATATTGTGTTGTTGTTGAAGGTTGTTCTGTGGAATACTGTATAGTCGATAAAGGTTGTTCTGTTGAATACTGTGCGGTTGTTAACGATTGCTCTGTCGAATACTGTTTAATAGTTGATGGTTGTTCTGTTAAATATTGCGTGGTTGTTGAAAGCATCTCAGTCGAATACTCTCCAATCGTTGGAGATTGTTCTGTCGAATATTGTGCAGTAGTTAAAGGTTGTTCTGTAAAATTCTTTCTTGTTGAAGATTCTGTGTAGTACTGTGTGGTTGTTTGCAACTGTTCAGTCGTCGAAAATGGTTCTCTAGAATACTCTTTAGTCGTTTGGACACCTTCAGTCGTTGTTTCCTTGTCTAAAGGATACTGAGCCGTCACAGTAATCAACGTAACACCTTCAGTCGTCTCTAAATTCAAATTCTCAGTAGTCAATTGCCCTTTAGTAGAATTTTCTCCAAAGGAAACAATCTCAGTCGTACTCCTTTCGCTAGACGTAGTCGTCGATTCAGTAACTTCCGGTGCTTGCGTAGTATATTCACCTACATATGTAGGAGTTACCGTAACAACTTCCCCTGTGAAACTACTCTCAGTAGAATGAACATACACAACAGGAGTCACTATCTGAACCTTATCAGTTACTTCGCTACTCATAGTCGCTTCTCCAGTAGTAGAAACTTCTGTAGTCAGACTCTGTCCTGTACTCTCGTTGTAAAGCACAGTAGTCGTCTTAGAAAACCCCTCAGTAGTAAAATCAATATCTCTCACCGTTGGAACAGTCTCTGTACTCTCCACAGAAATATCTTTAACAGTAGGAACCTCTGAGAAACCCACAGTAGTATCTGTATCGTTAACAGTGGTATTCTCTACACTCTCGGTACTCGTCGATACCATCGTAGAAATATCGAAAGGGTAGCCTACTGTCGTCTTAGCCAAAGAGGAAGTCACAGAAGTACTTTCTTCCATGAAAGAAGTCTTAGAAGTCTCACTAGTGGATTCAGTAGTTTCGTACGAAATTGTTGTACTTTCGTTCTCGTTAACAGCGAAGGAAGTATATCCCACAGTACTAGCATCAAATTCTGTACTACTCGAAACTGTCGTTGTCTCATCGACATTTGACGTCGAATAATCGAAAGTAGAGAACGTAGTCTGCGTTGCAGTGGTGTCTGTGCATGTGTAATCGTGTTGATCGCAGTCGCAAAGAGGCCTGTGTGCTTTAACCCGACATCGAATTGTCGATCGACAGTGGTCGACGCAAGGATCTACGCAGGATCCGTCGACACACGCGTCCGTGTCGCTGCAGTCGTCGTGAGACACGCAGAAACGATCGGTCGTGTTGCTGTGAACTGCTGCGAAATTCAATAGAACGTAAAGTGACAAATCGTTGTTCGAGCTTGCGATAGAAGTCGAGTGTAGCTCGTGTGTGAAAGATGCTGCTGAAGCGTCACTCTTACAATAAAAAAAAAGAGAACACAATTAACACTATACATCTACGATTATTACATACGTACGGTTTACTCCAAGAGGTAAAAAAAAAAAAACAAAACAAAACTCTACGAATTAATTAAGATTATAAGTTAGCATGCTCGCGTGATAAATAGACAAAGCTATGTATAATGTATAATATCGGTCAGAAGTATAATAATTTGATTATTAGGTCTTTACAGAGACAGATGTAACGGAGAAAAAAACATCGTTGAACAGTGAGGCGGTAGGAGAGTATAGGTATTATTCTGAGGGGAGGTGGGTGAACAGTTGTATCATGTGGCATATCGAACCTGAAACGTTCATGTCATTCAGACAACGGAACACCATCTGCATGAAAGAATTAGAAGAAAAAAAAAAAAGCTGT